CTCATATTTTAGTGATTAACATGAAAACACCTAAATACCCATCCTACTTTTTAGATAGAATACTCTCTTTTGACAGAAGTAAAAAGCATTTAGCTTATCACGAGAAGTAGACTATTTATAAAATTACACGTCTGAATCTCCTTATCATTCAAGGTACTTAACATTTTTTAATTTAACAATTAGAGTTGTATAATGTTTGTATTTTTCTAGAAATATATCCCTATTTACAAAAGATAAGGAATGCTATTTTTCAAATTACCATTTTAATTTTCCTAAACACTAGTAATAATACCCTGAGACTGAGAATTTCTAGGTTAAATTATGTGCTCAAGTTTTTTCAGTGAATTCTCAGAATATTTTGAAGATTAGTTCATTGCTTTTGTTCTTAATTTTTTTTTTCACATTGCCTGTGCTCACCTTCTTAAGACACACAAGTGTTTATTGTTCTCGCTTCCCAATGTTCTTTTTTAGTACTTTAGTGTTAAGGGGTATACTCCCTCCCCTTACCTCTATTATACCTTTTCCTCTCACAGAGACTACCCAGGCTTCTAAGAGGAGGAAATGAGGAAAAGAATTGAATTTGTATCTTTTATGCCTTGGTACTTCTAAGTGACTTAGCCCGTTGAATTCATTTACTAGTTGGCTGGCAGTGGGAGCATTAATTTTTTTTTTTTTTTTAATTACTAACAGACTCAGGAAACAAGACACATGGATGTCTTCAGTTTTACTGTGTGCTGTAGCTGGAGCTATAATCAAACATTTTACTCGACAAAATCATGCTAGACTAACTGGTCAGTCTAAACTGAGTGAAGAACCAGTTGAGCACCGAAAAAACTCACTCAGACAAGCAGACCCAGAACAGCAAAAATTTACCTCATAGATAGGTCGGTTTATAAAACCAAAGCTAAGTCTAAGAAAATTAAATGGAAAAACTTTCATGTTCAGATAATAGAAGATTGAGTGATACATGGTACAACTCAAGGAGTTAGCTACTTGCTTCACGAATTTGTCAAAAGTGAATTCTAATAAAGTAGGAGATTTCATTACACTTATGGGGTAGTTCAATGAGAATTAAGTTTATCAGACGGATGTGTGCCATTTGACCATAATAAGCTTATGGGTGTAAAGATGCTAATTAACTTACAATTTTTTTTTTATTTTTCATTTTGCTGTATTATTTAAAGTATATTTTAGGGATAAATATTTTTCAATGTATTAATTGTATTTAAATTCAGATTGTCTTATGGCATATTTTATAACTATTTATTTTTAAAATACTATTTAGGGTATATTTGTTCCCCATTTTGTTCTCTAGCTTACCTCATCTAACTATTTAAGATTTCATTTGACATATTCAAGTTAAGTGGAATGGCACCAGTTTCATTCCAAATCCCACTTGGATATAATGCTTTGAGGCCTTGATTCCTATATGTTCATGATACCTAATGAGCTTTTCGCTTATCTTAGCAATAAACGATTTGACCCTAAATCAGGGAATTGTAAGGTGCAGTTATTAACATCATTTCTACTCTTCCCCACTTCTTGTGGCTGAAGCTCCATACCTCAGCTCCATTCTGCTAGGTCTCAACCACACGGATGCCCCCCAAAAGCACTTACATACCAAGTGTGAGCCACACAGATGTCCAGGGAACCTGTAATTGAACTATTGCAGGGCTCATGTTTATACCATGCTAGAAATTATGCTTTTGTTTGTCATAAGAACCAGTGCTTAGCTCACAATAATTAAGTTTATTACCCATCTCCCTGGCAGCTCATAAAAAGCCTGGTCTAATGATTGCGAATAAGAATAATAAGCAGAAACAAGTCAGAGAGCAATCCGTCCTTTGCAGCTTTTGTCCCACAAAGTGATCTTCTCACTAAAATCACTTAAGACTCATTGATATAGAGGGGTCTGAGCAAGATAAGAAATATCACAGTTAACTTTTATGACAAATATAAGCTCTTACATCATTAGTGATAAGGCAATAGGCAATAAGTTAAATACATAGCATGTTTCCTCAACAGAGATTAATCACATCAAAATATGCCAGTGGATTTTTATGTTTGCTTAGACTGGAAAATGATTTACATAGTTCTTAACTATTCTCGCCTTCAGGTCCCCTTATGACGTAATAAATTAACCAGGTGCTCTCTAAGGAATATTCTTAAGTCTTTTGACATACACATTTTCAACCTGGAGGACAAAGACAAATTCAAATAAATGTTGAAAAGAAAGGTAGTTTCTTGAACCCAACTGCTCTCATTTGTTCTCTCTCTCTCTCTAGTTATTTTTAGAAAACTTGAGAGTAAGATGTAAAAGCATGTTAAGGAGAAAGTTAACATGGGTTGCCATTTATTAAGACTAAAGATATGATCAGTGTCCTCTTTCTGATGTCTGGATCTAACAAATATGTTACACTTCCCCTAGTTAATCATTTAAAGAGCATTTGAGCATGTGTATTTATAGTCATACATTACAATGGATAACCAATTTTGATTTAATATTTACTGAATTATATGCATTTAATACTGTCATGTCCCAGATCATAAGCTCACTAAAAAAGATGAAGTACACAATTGAAAAGCATTTGTTTTACTCAGTGAAACAAAAGGACTCGACCTACATTACTGAGCACAAATATTCTTTATTAAAGATATTTAAAACCATTTATGTCCATTGCAAAATTTGTAAATGGCAAAATCACTAGTTTGCTAATTTTTTCTTATTAGTACATTTTCACTCTTTTTGTCAGTACTAACAGAAAAAAAAGCAATTCTCTTGGTATTTGGTATAATTTTATGTATTTTTAGTGATCTCCCTATTTTGGTTTATTTTAAAATTCAGGGATATTATATGTCAGAAACTGTCATAGCCAAAAAATCAAATAATAGAGGTGATCTTCAAAACTAGGGATCTATATTAGCTTATTTCAGGTGGCAAATAAATCAGATCTTACTAACGATGTTTAAGCATAGCAATATTCGTTTAGACAGATTGACATATAAAGTGCCTATAATCGAATCAATCACATAACTCATATGACTACTCATTCATATTCTTCTGCTACTCAGAAGTCACTTATCCCAAACCATGCCAGTGAATTTATGTGCTCAGTCAACCTGGAAAGTGATTTCCATAGTTCTTAACCAACCTGTCAGGTATTGGGGATGAAAATCATATCATAATGCCATAGAAGCACTGACTAGAATTAAATCAGAAATCATTTGCCCTTGAGTAACATGCCAGTTTGCAACCAACCTTAATTATTCACAGACTCTTCTCTCAGTGAGTGCTCTAGGTGACACTTCACCCAACTTTTAAAAATATCTCAAAGAGGCTTGGAAATTTCTATTTTGCTAGAGAGAGCTATTTGGCTTAATTAAATATTTATCAACTCTAACTTTCATAGAATTTGCTGGATGCTTTTCTTTGCAATTTCTCAGACAAGTATTTACTGCTTCTGTAAACTATTTCACTTAACTGAATTTACAATGGATTGTTCCCACCATTTGGAATGTGCTAGTTTTGCATAATCTATCTGTTAAGTGGTTGTTTCCAGTATCGCTTGTGGTATCTGTGGAGCTTGTTGTACAGCCTTTTATATATCAAGTTTGTAAAACAGTTGAATGATCTGCTCTTTGAAATTTTATTTTTTAAAAATTTTCTTATGAATACAATATTATAGAACTGAGGAACATATTTATTTGGTTATCTAATTTTTCTTTTGTTGTATTTAATTACATCACTCTGGTTAAAATAAAACAATCTTTGTGAAAAGACAAGGCAACGTCTTTGCATTTATTTGATTAGATGTTGCAGTACCTCAAAAGGTTTGCCATTTATATGAAGATGATTTTAAGTAATTATAACAGATATCTCTATTTCCAAAAATTATTTATTCCACAGGAAGGAAAAACATCCTTCTCAGTGTGTAAATGGCACTGATTGATGTAGCCAAGTTGGAATCATTCTCCTTAAGCAATGCATGCTCAAGGCACAGAACTAGGTGCTGTAAGCAGATTTAAAGAAATCCAAATACAGGAGGGGAACGCCTGGCTGGTTCAGATGGAGGAGCATGCAACTCTTGATCTCGGGGTTGTAAGTTCAAGTCTGATGATGGGTGTAGAAATTACTTAAATAAATACATAAATCTTAAATAAAACATAAATCCAAATACAGATTACATAATGATTGATTTGGCCAAACAAATAGGGCTAATGTTTTTGAATGTATAACAAGTACACGTGAGAAAAATTGATATCAAAGATCCTGTTAGGGCTTATGCCCCATGACTTGAGAAAATTGAATTCCATAAACTAACTGAAGATATTGACTGTTTTGAGCACTGCACTATGCCCCGGGGAGAAGTTACTCACATGCACTGTGACATAAAATTAATATAGTAAGTCTGATCAGTAGTTTATAGAAATGTCTAGAAAACAGCTAGTCAATGTGACCACGCAAATATAGTAATAAAGTGCTTGAGTGGTCAGGCAATACCTATCTTATTGATAAGAATTCGGTGCTTTAGCTGAGCTGTGATTATAAAATGTCTAAGAAAAGTGGTGGAACAGAAGTCATTTTTGCAGCAGTGAAATTATGAATAGGAGGGAGCTAACAAACCATTGAAATGAAAGCAGTGGTTCCTAACCTAGAAACCAAGTGCTTAAGTGGTCTATGAAGTCTCTGAAATAGTCTACAAACATATTTGCACATATGCACTCGTGTGTTTTTCTGGGGTGATGGCCCCATAGCTTTCATTAGAATTTCAAAAAAGGTCCTTGAAGCTCTCCCCCATGCTACACACATACATACAAAGAACTGTGGCAGGGTAATGACCCCTAAGGAACAGGAAGGGCTTAATTTCTCTACAGAAACAAAGCACTAATATTATAAACATGCCTATAGAAATACCAGGAATTTAATATTTTTCATTGTACCTAAATAAGTTCAGTGACTTCTTTTCATTGAACATGATTATAAGAAAACATGCAAGAGCTTAAGAAACCATATTTATTTTTTTGGTACAACCAGAGATGTTACCTCAAACCTTGAAAATAAATAATCTTATCAATAAAACTTACGAATGGCAGGATATTAAAATTCCTTCTTTGCTTTCACATAGAAGAGCTGAAAAATTAATGGGTTTGGGATACAGTACAGTTTAACAAAAATCCAGGCTGCCTACGAAAACCAGCAAGTGATGTACGGAAATTGTTGCATGGGGCAGAGCACATTCTTGCTGCTCCCAAGAGGACACATTGATGGGAATTTTAAGCACCAATTCTATTGACTGCAGTGAGGTTTCTTCAGAATTAGTCTGCTAATCCTCTGTATAGCTGAAATGATAATCTGAGAACAACATCTAAATGAAAAATGAAAATAACTACTACAACTGAGGTAAACCAAACAGTTGTTTTTGTTTATTGGCACAGTGGCCCATGATAGATCACATACGTATAGCACACTAAAGTTCAAGATCCTGGGAATGGGATTATAAATTTATTTAAAGGGAGGGTTTTAGGTTTTCTGATTTTTTTTGTATCCGATGATTCTGCTGTCTCCTCTCCAAGAAAAAAGAAAGGATTTATTGAATAGCACCATTGTTTTAAATCTGTCAAATAAGACTTATGTAATAACTTTGAAGGTAATGCATTGTTGTCTTTTGCCTCAGCTTCGGTGGTGTTTCCCCTCCAAGCCCCTTTGCCAGGCATTGTTTATGCAGACAGCCACGCAGCACTAAGCTTTTCACTGATCAGGCCCTTTGATAAATGCTCGTTGACCAGCCTGCATGGTGCAGGAGGCTGGCTCACAAAAACCAGGAGGCCCAGGAGGTCCCGGGGGGCCGGGTACACCAGGAATTCCTGCCACCCCAGGGGGGCCTCGCTCGCCATCCCGGCCATTCCTCCCATAGCTGGCAGGACCTGGTTCACCTGAAACACACAAATGATTGCACATGTAAACAGGAGAGCCCCAATGGCTGCAAACTAACAGATGGCACTGGACCCCCTCCCCTAGCCAGCAGTGTGCACCTAGGAGCTTAATAAGTGCTTTTGGAAATGATGAAGACATGATGTCATGTTAAAATTCTTTCACTGAACTTGGGTTTCTTAGAAATTAAAAGAGGAAGGAGACCTCAGCATCTCTAACCCACGTTTCCAAAGTTCAGTAGAGCTGAACTACCCAGTATGGTAGCATCTAGCCACATAGGTCTACTGAGTGCTGAAATGTGACTAAGTCAAATTGGGATGAACTGTAAGTGTAAAACACACCTGGACGCTTTGAAAACTCAGTGTAAAACTTTAATATGTTTAATTAATAATGTTGACTGTTATTACATGACATGATATATTTTGCAATGATAATATTTTGGACACAATTGGCTAAATAAACTGTATTATTAAAATTAATCTCACCTGATTCTTATGACTTTGTTAATGTGGCTACTAGCAGATTTAAAATTATGTACACAACTCTCATTGTGGCTCACATTATATTTTTCCAGTGGCATCATCCCTAATAAGTGATCAATCTCCAGACAGTGAGTAGAAGTATATAGGTCAGGGGTTAGAACAGGATTTAGAGGCAGAAAGATAGCCTTAAGTTCTTGCTCTGCCATTTGTGAATGGGGTGACATTAGCAAGTCACTAACCTCTTAGTTTCTTCATCTACAAGACAGGATGATGCTTCCTTAAAACTAAATTCCAATGCCTGAAAGCATCTGATACATAGGGGCTATTATTATGTTCATGAGGATATCACTGATTGATGTCTTTTAGAAGCATGTGCAGGGCACCTACAAAGTTCCCAGATGATTTCCCATCAGGGGCTAACCCCTACATGAACTTTATTATGGCCTAAGTTCCTCAGGAGCATTTTTTCCCTTTGTCACATTCAAAGGTTGTTTGATCACCCCGTGTGGCATGTTCTCTGAGGCATGGCACCCAATACAGAGGGGAGTTTCTGCTGAATGTTTACCCACCCCATCACATCAGCAGTGCTCTCATACTCTTAGCACAAAGGTGGCGGTAAGAAATCTGTGTAAGACAAATTGTATACACCATGATGATATAGTTCTATAGAGCTCCTCTTACCTCAGCCATTCAGCCTAGATGGTGAGCATGTTCAATTACACATTTGCTTAGGTTAAGGCAGTTTCCTTCTTTCTCAGTGGTTTTAGTTCTCTTTTTCTATTTTAGTGGTCTTATTAATATATGTCTTGTATTGGTCTTATTATAGTGGTCTGGTCTTATTAAGTGTTCTTATTACATGTATCTCACATACTTTTAGAAAGAAGGTAGATATCTTATTTTACATATAAGATCTCATTCTTCCTGTGATATTTACAATTAGATCTACACAAAGCAAAATTATAGGACAACACTTTTTATTTTTTTAGATTTTTTTTAAGTAATCTTTACAAACAATGTAGGGCCCGAACTTACAACCCTGAAATCAATAGTCATACACTCAACCAACTGAGCCATCCAGGTGCCCCAGGACAAAACATTAAGAGAATAATTATCTTTGATTCTATCCATCTCCAGGCTGTAGATAAACAGAGATGTAAGTAATTTCCCTTAATTTATCCCATAAGCTTCCATTCGACTATATTCAGTTGTAATGAAGCAGATGATTACGTTTCCCTCTAAAGACAAGGCCCCTGAGAACATTTTTCTCTAATCAACAGCACCTATAAATACGGCTTTAGCAGGGCCTGTTCAGGTCTCATGACACAGGTTGCTGTTCAACATTGTTCTTTTAAGCTTTAAAAGGCCAGACAGACGTGCATAAAAAGGGTAATTCTCATACGCCTTATCATGGAGACATACCAGGTCGGCCTTAACAAAATCAAATCAAGATTAAGAGGAGAAAATGCCCAGAGGAGAGGTCACAAACCAAAAGACCACAGGAGGAGCAAAACAGGTAATACAGATCAGGTGGGCAAACATGGGATCGCCCAAAATGAGCCAACCCCTGTTTTTGTAAACAGTCCTGTTAGAACAGGGCCATAGTCATCTGTTTTGTATTGCCTCTGGCTGCTCTTACACTACCAAGGGCAGAGCTGTAGGGCTGCCACAGAGACCACATGGCCCACAAATCCCCAAAATCTGGCCCTTTACAAAAAAAGTTTGCTGACCTTTAAGGTAGTAAAGAAATGGTCCTAGATTAAGAAACACCCTGGTGGGGCGCCTTGGTGGCTCAGTCCTTGGTTTCTGCTCGGTTCATGATCTCACGGTTCGTGGGTTCAAGCCCCGCATGGGCTCTGAGCTGTCAGTGTGGAGCCTGCTTGAGATTCTCTCTCTCTGTCCCTCCCACACACTCTCTCTCTCTCTCTCAAAATAAATAAACTAAAAAAAAACAAAAACAAAAAAACAACACCCTGCTGTCTTTAGGAGAAGACATAACACAAATGTAATGAAAACTGGTGACCGCTATTCCACATCAGTTTTAGGGAGGAAACAGGGAGGACTGCGGCCTGTTGTGAATGGCAGAACGGTGCCCCCCGCAGTTTGCTCCAGCCAACAGCTGCCCTAAGGGAAGGTGGGCCAGCAGAACCTCTGATCATTGTCAAGGGAAGCTAGAGGCTGAGTTTTTTAATAAACACCTCTCAATTTCTAAATATTAGCAACTAATCCAAATTTTTAACATTTGTAGAGCCAGTCTCCTGCCTAAAATCTTAAATGTAAGGGGATTTATTCTCTACTATTCAACCATATTAGAAAGCAGAAGGAAAGCTTTTTTTAGATTTTCATATTATACTTCCCCATTTCTACACATCGCAGGAGAGGCTTTTTCACTTGCTGCATTTATTCCAGATTCCTGCTAATCCTTTGAAAAAGAGTTGCTAAGGCCATCCTGTGTATCCTTGATTTATTTTATGTAAAGCACATCCAGTCCAATTCTCCCTCGGGCAAATACAGCAATTTACCCGTTGAGGCTTTGGATGTCATCTTTGTCATTCTGACCATCATCACCATCAACACTTACACAACGCTCCCGCTTTACCATGGCCCTGAACTGTGCTCGTTATTGATCCCATTTTCCTCTGTGTGAAGTGAGAGTTAAGAAGGCATGGGGCGCCTGGGTGGCTCAGTTGGACTTCGACTCAGGTCCGGTCATGATCTCACAGCTCGTGAGTTCAAGCCCCACTTAGGGCTTTGTGCTGACAGCTCAGAGCCTGGAGCCTACATTCTGTGTCTCCCTCTCTCTCTGCCCCTCCCTCACACTCTGTCTCTCTGTCTCTCTCTCTCTTAAAAATAAACATTAAAAAAAAATTTTTTTAAGGCTAAATAACTGTCCATCATCACACAGCTAGAGGGCGTCAGAACTAGAAGCAAGGGCCCTTAACCACTACTCAATCTGAGAGTATTTCCATACCTATTGAGCCGCTAATGCTGCGTGTGCGTGCATGCATAATAGTGCGCGTGCGTGGGCACGTGCCTGCGTGTGGGGTTTGGGGTTTAATGAGCCTGAATTAACCGGGAAGTAAAAGCGGCACCACAACCAAGAGTTAGTATTGATTCTTCTGGAGCTCTAACTATCAAAAGAAACTAAAGATATTTTTTCTGAGGTTTTGTCCTGTAAAACTGGCCAGAGGAAAAAAATCAGGCTTCACAAATTGTCAGTTTCTGGTGAGTCCTGACGCTGGGTATTTACTCTCCAAGGTTCTTGGTGTTGTTTAGGAGCGTAATTTTGGGGTGATACAATGTCACAGTCCAAATCATTCAAGAAGTCTAGCAGCTACATTAGCGAATATCTATAAACTACCCTTCAGCTCCTCAGAAAACAGATCTGAAGTGTTCTCATTCTGCTTTGTCTACCTCATGGGTGTGTTGGCTGCACTAACTGGCTAATGATTACATAGTTTTCTGAAATTTCAAGGACCTATAAAAATGTTACTGCCAAACATTTCGTTTTTAAAAATGAATGTCATTCTCTGTGCGAACACTAGAGGGTAGCCATGTTACATTGATGGAGGCCAGTCCCTGCTGGAACATTCTGAAGGATCTGCTGCAGGCTGCAAAGTGAAAATGACTGTGTATAAAGGCCTTTAGGAAAGGGGGTGGGGGGGGGAACCCTGCAAGTAATTTTCAGCATTAATTTGGTGACTTATCCACGGGTTATGTAAAATGTGTGTTCCAGGGACTTTCTTACATATCCACCTTATGCTGAGCTTGCATTTGTGGTGTTTGACAAAGCATATATGTTTAAGGAATTGGCATAAAACGGTTTGTTTATAGAAGATCCCCATAGCCAGATAAAACAGCTGCAGTAATGGAAATAGGATAAATGGCTACTGCTAAACAAGCCTAAACCGAGTGTGCCCTTGGTTTGGAGTTTTGGGTTTTTTTTTTCCACTCAGTGTTCACAAGCAAAGCTCACCTATGTGCAGCTTTACATAAGAAACCTGAATAGCCCAGTTGCCTAGTGTGACCTAGTGTGCCTAGGTAGAAGCCAGCTCTACCCTCCTCTCCTCATCCAAAAAGGGAAAGCATCGCAGCTCACAAGCCACATTCCTGGTGGTCACATACATATGATTCCTTATTTAACTTGTTTCTTTCCCTCATGAGTTTGAATGCACAGAAGAGATCAGGACCTAATATTAACTATTTTCCCTTAAAACCCCCAGAGTGTCGAGGAATTGGTCCCAAGTGGGCAAGTTTGGTGGCAGCAGGCATAGAGAGTTACTCTTAATGAGACAACCCAATCAAGCAATACCACAAAGGCCTCTGGTAAGAAACTGAAGGTGGGCATGGGGGTTGGGGGCATCTAAAGTCCCAGGGATCTCTAATCACCGCTCTGTGAGAGAGGCAGAAAAGAAATCAAGACACTATGTGGTTATGAAACATGGCGAAGTTATATGGCTAGCGTGGCAAAGGCAAGCTAATCCCATTACTAGGCAGCCAGTGCATCATTTTGTCCAGTACATGAACCTGGACACAGAAGGTATGAATATTTGCCTCTGTGACTTATTAGCTGACAGACCTTTGTCAGAGCAGGTGACCTCTGTAAGTCTGCATTTCCTCAAATAGAAACAGAGGAATAACAAAATAATGACAGCTAAATTTGCAAAATGCTTGCCATATGCCAGGCGCTGTTGTAAGTGTTTCACGTGTAGTAACATGTACACAGATCCTCCTGAGTAACTCTATAGGGTAGATGTGGTTCTCAGCCTTGGGATGCAGCAGAGAACTGAAGCGCTAAGAGGCAGAGTCGCCAAAAATAAGTGGAAGAGCAGTGCATACACCTGGGCGTTTGGCTCCAGAGCCACCCTTCTTAAATACCTGTTCTGCCTACCTCTGGCTGGGAGAAACAAACTGGATGATTTATAGGTACTTTTTAAAGAACCGAGCACCACAGCCAGCATGATAGCATGACAGTTACAATAATGACCTATGGTCCATATCAGGCAGTGTACCATTACAACCCCAAAGGGCCGTGTAATAATCAGTGCCAAACAGATACGGAGAGGAGAAAAGAACTAAAACTGTCCATAAAGCATAAAGGAATTCTGATTACTGATAGATAATTAATGTGTTAGTTGTATTTTTTTCAAATATATCACATATGTTTGCACCAGGAAGAATGATCAAGTGAACGTTTTCCACTCAGGAGGATTTAAGTCTCCAATCCAACAATAGGGATAACCAAGAAGGTTGCAGGATATCCTGTTCTACAGGCTCTTTCTTTTAGGCTCCAGACAAGTCCCTGCACAGAGTCCTACTGGAAGTTCCTCCAGACCTCCACATACTAGTAATAGTCCTGTTACTATTATGTTTGTGAGAGACCAGAAACCACGTTCCTAATCACATTCCAGGCTCTGCCAGGGAAGTTAAAGGTCCCAGCCTCTCAGCGGACAGTGAACAAGTGCAATAATTTACTGTGAACCAGTACTTTCATTTATGATTTGGAGTCAAACTCACCCAAGGTCAGAAAACTAGTAAGTGACAGAGTCAAGATTTGAACCCAGGATGTCTAAATCGTGGAGCTCCAAACAGGAGCTCCTACTCAGAAGCTCCAAGTACTAGCTTTAGGGGAAAAATGACCCTAAAAGCTCTTGTTCAGGGACTAATGGATTCAAGAAATTGTTAGCTAAGTATATTCATAGTGTAGACAAGAGAGTGTGAGCTGACCTAAAAACCAAAGCAGCCAGCTGGTGCCTCAGTGACTGGGGCAAACATAAACCCTTCGTGCCTGTGTGCTAGAGCACTTGGAAAACTGCATGCTTTTGAAAGGTAGCCTCAGCTTTTAAAAAATAATCTGAAACCCAGATTTTTCACTAAATAATGTCATATATCCTCTTAATAGAAATGTAACAAAGGCATATACAAAGAAAGACCAGATTTCAGAATGGTACCAGGAAGGAAGGGGCAAGGACTGGCAAAAGGCAGAGGAAAGGGAAAAGGACAGGTTTAGGGGTCTTAAAATAGTGATCCCACGGAATTTTTTAACAAATTATATTTAAGTTTTAAACCCAAGAACAGCTATAACAAATTAATTTTTTTCACAAGGAGGACAAGATGAGGACCAGTCAGCGGTCAGTGCTGCCAGTGGTGAGCCTGTCCTGCCTTAACCAACCTGCCCACACACCAATGTCTGATGTACTAAGAAGCAAATCACGGAAGCCCCTTTCTGGTAGAGCAGTGGCCCCGGAGCCATTTACATTTACATGTAAATCCTCGCAGTCAGATTCAGCAGCTCTGGGTGGGGTGCTGCATGTGGGCAGAAACGTGTCCCCTCATGACAGCCTGGGACACTATACATACAGAGCTGGTTTTCCTTCAATCTTCCCATTTTAAACTTAAAACATGGCTTATCAACAGATTTTTTGAAAGTAAGAGTCACCAGAAATGATCATATATTTCTGATAAAGGAAAATCTTGCCAAGGGTGCAAGTTGCTGGTCCAAGAACCGTTATGTGGTTTGTCAACAAAATGGGAGAAGGAGAAACTGAGGCAATCCTGTAATATATAGATAATTAAGTACATTGTAATGATATTTTTATCAGCTCTAAACTACCTATTGCTGCCACTGATAAAGGAGGAAAGCACTCAGAAAATTCCATTTCCCTTTCCTCTTGTAAACATCCATCAATGAATACAGACTTTATCATACACTAAAATCTTCTTCTCTTGGTCTCCTGTAGCTTCGACCAGATTTTCTTTCCTTTTCCAATCACGAAAATTTATCAATTTGTGAAAGCATCTTGACAGACTCATGAATCGCAGGGTTAGTAAAGCAGTGAGCTATCTCCAAATGTATTCATATTTAAAAAAAAAATTTTTTTAATGAGAAAGCAGTGATGTTTTTGGCTGCAATTAGAGCCATGATTGAACATGGAAGCCTCTGTCAGAATTAGAAAATCAGCATTTCTTTTTCTAAATTTCTCTAAACCAAGTTTTCCAAATCCACCGAAGGAGTGTGGGCCACCCTTTTCTGCACAGCCTCTCACCCTGCCTCTCCTCAGCTCCAGGGTCCAGCGCTGGGGGCCTTCCTTAGCCACTGCCTCAGCAGCTATGAGTTTGCTGGGAGGCTCCAGGTCACTCATGCTCTCAAACCCAACTGACTTCTCCTGCTATGCTGCTTCTGTGGTTGGGCTTCTAAGTCATTTCCCAGTGGATGAGTATGTGGCAGCCTGGACTGTGGGGACAGAGTAGCCAGTGTGCAAAGAGAGAACAGACGCCCAGTGAGAGAATCCAGGCTCTTCACACAGAGGTGACTTTGTTACCTCAGCCAGCACAGCTGTGATATGTGGCTTGTGCATGGCTCTTTGTGACTATAGGAGTTGGAATGTTCAGGTTTATTTTTTTTGGATATGGATTTCTGGAGGGTCTGGATGTTTGAAACAGGAGCTTTTAAAAGAAAATTTCAGTTACTCCCTGTGCAACATGAATAGTTTGAAAACTTAAAAACTTTTTTGTTGCTCTTTTTGGTTAAAAAATAAACAAAACTATCAACGAGGCTAAAAGTGGATAGGACCTCATTCATTCAGAATTTTCTAATAAGTGCACTGTGGCTGGACCTTGACACAATTTTTTTAAAAAAACATCTGTTCAAGAAATTAATATTTTAAGCCCTGACATATGTTTTCTCATGAGGAACACAGACAGGCATGATTTATAGATCATTTAACTCTTCATTAAAGTTGGTCTTGAAAAATCTGTGCTGGCCATTATTGAGAATTACATGATATGCTTAAGTAATCAAAGAGCAATTCTTTAAAATATTTTCCAATTCAGACTGCCCACTTGCTACCAATTCCTCAACCTCATGCTGCCATATAACACACTTACCTGGGAGACCCGTAGCTCCGGGCAAGCCCTTAGGACCTCTTCCTGGAGGGCCACGTTCCCCCCTTTCTCCCAAGTCACCTGCATTTCATTAGAGAAATCTTATGTTTCTGTATGTTTATAAAAAGAAAGTTCCATATTTTTAAACTTTAAGCAAACCCAAAATTGAGTCAATTAACTATATTAAGAGATCCAAGTGGGGGGAAAGCCAATGACCATATTCATAGATGCTGAAAAGACATAGGACAAAATAAAATATGCATTCCTGATACAACATTCAGTAAAATAAGAATCGATGGTTACTTCCCTGACCTGATAAAATATATCTGCCTCAACCCAAAAGCTAGCATCATGCTTACAGGGAAACACGAGAAGCAGTCCCACTACAGACAAAACATTATAGAGATGCGTACTTTATCACTATTAATTGTCATTTGCTTTGAGAGTCAAAAATATCCCTATTTTCAGGTGATATAAGTGTACATCTTAAATCCTTGAAAATCAACTCAAAATCTACTACAAACAATGAGAGAATTCAGTAAAATAGCAAAGCACAAAATTAATATATGAAAATTAGTAGTTTTTACATTTACAAACAACCAGAAATAAGAGGTAATGAAAAAAGATCCCATTTAAAACAGCAATTAAATTAATAACTAGGAATATATTTAATCAGAAATATGCAAATCCAACAAAAAATTAACATCTCTAAAGGATACAAAAGGACTGACAACTGTTCTTAGGTGGAATGACATCATCACAAAAAGGTATGAGTTCTCCCTAAGCTGAAGTTTCATCATGATCTCAATAAAAAGATATTTTTAACCAGAAAAGAGGATTCTGAAGTTTGTACAGAAAAACACATAAGCCAAAGTAGCCACAAAACTCCAAAAAGAAAAGCAACATGAAGGGAATTAATCCTACCACATATTATGCCAATTAAAATGGTGTGGTACTGGTACTTGAATAGATAGACCAGTGAAACAGCCCCCAAACAGGCTCCAATACATATAAGAATTTGTTTTGTAATAAATGTGCCATCTTAAGGTGGGAAATAGTCAAACAAGTCAATAAGTGGTTTTGGAAAAAGTGGGTAGCCAACTGGAAAAAAAAATAAAGTCGAATCTGTTCCTCACAACATGATCTAGGATAAGTTACAAATGGATCAAATATTTAAATGTAATTTAAGAACCAGAAGAAAATAAGGAGAATTATTTTATAACCTCAGATTTGAGTTGGCTTTACTGTCATGATTCAGAATATGAAGGGTTCCTAAAAACAATAAAAAAGGTCAACAACAATAAAAAATGATAATATATAAGCAAGGAAGTCATTAAAAGGAAAAAAATAGCTCTGAAATATATGGAAAATTATCTGACATCACTCTCACAACAAAATAAATGGAAATTAAAAATAACAAGAAAGCTACTTTGAACTATAAGATCAGCACAAATTCCAAAGTTTAATTAAACATATATATACTAGCAAGTCTGTGGAAAAATACATTATTACTTATTGCCAATAAGACTGTGAATTGAGGCAGTTTCTTGGAATATCTATCAATATTACAAATGGTAGTACCATTTTACCTAGCAATTCCACTTCTAGGAATTTATCTTAGAAGTACAGAGGTTATGTTGTATTTGTACAAAAATGAAATACACAGTGATAGTCACTGCAGCCTTGCTATCATGGTAGAAGATTAGAAACTAACTGTCCATGAAATGGTTAAATACACTATGGTACTTCCATAGAATGGCATACTATGCAGCTATGAAGAAGAATCAGGAAGCTCTTTGAAATGATCTCAAGACATAATTGTTCAATGAAAAAAATCAAGGTTCAGATCACTACCAAAGGATAATATGACTTGCCTCTAAAAAGATGTAGGGAAGTATATAATCATATATTGCACCTTATCACTGATAAGGATATGTAGGAAACTAATAAAAGGGATTACCCAATGGGAAGAATAAAGGAAACTAAGCAGATGGGAGACAGGGGTAGGAGAAAAACTCTTCACTAAATATCTTTTAATATATTTTTAAATTCTCAAACAATATAAATTTAGTGTCACCAAAAATAAATTAATGAATTTTCAAAATTTAAAGTGTGCTGTCACAAGTGCCTACATTTCATTTGTGATTATTATTTATAGGGAAAATGCTTTGGACTGCAACCAACCACGTATATTTGCAAGACAGTTGATTGAATTTGGGGATTCAGCAGCCAGAAAACCAAGTTTCATTAATTATCCTGGCCCCTGCAGAGAAACCTAGAAACTTGGCCTCATTAACAAAGTGCCCTAATACCTTAGTCAACCGGTCCTAACTGACTTTTCCTGCTCCCCATAGAAGGCATTATTCTACTATATCACTGGTACAGTATTATATTATTATTCTACTACTCGCTCAGAAGAGGCAGTGGCATTTTGCAGTAAATTCTATATATAATCATTTTTCCAAACATTTGTGTCAGCTCAGCTTCATTCAGTATTGTGTCCCACTTATAATAATTTAAAAAACAAAAGCATGCATACCAAAATAGTAAAAAAAAATCTAATTATGAAGTGAATGTTTAGTCACCATACTTTGATTTTAGCTGTGAATGTCCTTGTATGAGTATTTTTATCATGAATCAACTGTATTTCAAAAACAATTTAAATTTATATAAATACCGTATAGGGATCTAGAGCTCAAGTTTAACTCACATTCACGTAAGCTCTTTTTTTATACTCATCATCAACATGGCCTTACTATATTAGGAAGATATGATAATTAGCCTTTTAAAAACTAAGAACTTAAGCGCTCTTGTTAACTTAGCAATTTAAATGTCATATCACTCTAATTCTGGTGGCTTGCAGTGAGAAAAGAGCCAATAAATGTGCCACATTTTCTGAAGATGTGAGATGAAGATTATAAATTAAAATGTAACTTCCACACAGATAGTGAAAGTTAAACACATTCTAGAGCGAAGCCACATCAACTTTAAAATGTCGCTTGCAAGGACTAAGACTGCGGTCTTCATCCTGATGCTGCCTTGCGGTTATTGGTCATAGAAAAACAATTTTTAGAGATGGGCTCTGAGACAGAGCCACACTGTGAGCTGCTGCTACTCCACGGCAAACCGTGTTGCAGCCCGGCTGTGTTATCCCTGGGGTTAATCCACTTCTTCAAACCCCGATCATGTCTCCTTTTGAGATGTATGAAAACCGGCTCAGGGAACTAAAGGTCTACCTTTAATAGCTAGCCTACTCTGTGGAAAAATATATATAAAGAGCTTGTAAAATAAGCTTTACATAAGGTAAGAAGGGAAACATGCACGGTAACAAGAAAAACAGCTCACTGTGAATAGAGCGGCTAACGTGGAAGAAATTCTCATTGCTCCAGAGCTGCTATTTATTTCATTTATTCGAAAGCCATAACTGATGCTCCAACTCCATGTGAACAGATTAATACTGAAAAAAGTGCTAGTCACAGTTACGACGTGTACTTTCTCAAGCCTTCATTTACATATTGACACATCTGTTTGACTCACACTAAAATATCTAAAAACATGTATATGGCCTTACTCCACAGGACTTAAAATTAATCCAAACCGGGAACATTTAAAAGTAGTACTGACAACATGGAAGATTAATTAATACTAAGCAAAGTGAACATAACGCCAATTAGAAGTCTCCATGTTTCTGCTTGAGTATGTATAAAATGTACATGCAGAAGGGGCCTTGGTCTTAACATGTTAGTGTAGTATCGCATAAAACATGCCAATGAAAACCCAAAAAATATGAACATGATTTAAGATTTGAGTATGATTTCAGGCATATTTCTACTAGCTCCCACTGAAAATGTTTCACTGTGTTTTGCAGAGTACTTTTTTAGGGAAAAATGCTTTTATTAAAGGCTTATCCTGAACTGCTAAAAGCTTTAGTAAAATTTATTTGTTCATTATTTATGTAGTAATATCCTTGGAAAAAGACTCTCAAAGTAATATGGCAGAGCAAGTCTCACTGTCCCTTCTTTATTAGTCATGGAAAGAAGGCAGCAGGTGACACTGAAATACATCTCTAATTAGCTGAACATTTAAATTTCAAATGGCGAAGTATTTGTTCTCAGGGAAAAACTGATCTGTAACCTTTGGCCAGTGGAACACTATATGTTTTTAATTAAATATTAGTGTTATACTGGATGTGATAGGACAAGAAAGGTCAAGTCCGGTTACCTGGAATCATACATTTCCAAATTCATGATAGCACGGCTGGATAAAATCTGAGGATAGTACTCCTTTCTTCCCATACCCCAAATTTCAAGAAAACTGACAGAAGATGCTGCTTTAAAGGAACCCAGTGACAATACAGGGATGGAAGGAGGGTGGGGAGAGAAAGTCCTTTAGAAAAAACAAAAGATTGTATCACTTCTAGAGTATAAACTATGTTGTAAATACTGAAGAAAAATTAGGGGGAAGTCCTTTATATGATCAAACTACGCTTAATGAATAAACTTAGTGCTAGAGACATTTTCCAGGTTCCAAATATAGAAATATATTTTTCTTCCCTTCAAAATAAAGTTTATCTGCTAGAGCCAACTCAGCCCAACCCAGCCATAATTCAGTGCTGCTAAGACCTTCCCAGAGAGCTTCCTGAACGTTTCACCTTTGTTTCCTGTGGCTCCCAGCCCTCACTGTACATTAAAATCACATGGGGAATATTTTTAAATCCTGCGGCTCAAACCTATTAAATCAGAATCTCTGAGAATGGGACCCAGCTGTGGGCAGTTTTTAAAGCTCCTCAGGTAATTCCGCTGTGCAACCCGGGCTGAGAAACACAACTTCAGGCAGACTCTACTAGCATAGTAAGTAAACAGACATTCTTATTTCTTAGAAAATAAGATGGAACTTGAGGGGAGTTCTCTTACTAATTCAAAATTAAGTTCTACCCCACATACACAGACTTCCTTTTGGCCAAAGAGAATAGGACTGTGATTTCTACAGCCCCTACAAGGTGTTTCCAGTAGGAAAATGGGTGACTGAACTACACCAGTGCATGTAGCAGCACAGGAATGAATCATCTGGAGGCTTGTTAGAACGCAGGCTGCTGGACCCCACCTCCAGAGTCTCTGATTGGATCAGTGGGGTTGGGGTGGGCTAGAGAGCTTGTATTGCAAAGGGGGTCCCTGGTGGTGCCGATGCTTCAGGGAGCACTCTTGCAGAACCACTGCTCTAAAGGAAACTTACAGGAAAGGCTGAGGAGTCATCTGTGGGCTCTGGTGCAGCTGAACCAACTAAGTCAACAATCCACCGGAGGCAGCAGAGTTCCTTGGAAATTATTAACAGAGTAAATGTGGCCTACCCACAGAGTACCCACTCATGAGTTCCTCAACCAACAGCTAAAAGCAGGACAAAGATGAATGACTATGTGATTCTTTCAAAGAAAATATTCAGTTCTCTTTAAGAAGAGCTCCGAGCTCTCTCCATATTTCATTTTGTCCAGCCCCTTGAAAGCTTGGAAATTGTGCCAGCCTTACAAGAGGTTCCAATTAGGGCTCATTTTTTCACATACAGCAGTGCACATGCCAAAAAAAAAACAAATCAAATATAATTAACAAAATTGTTCCAGCTGAAAGTGTAGTTAGCCAAATGCATCAGCAGTTCATTTATAGATCCAAAAAGGCAGCTTGCTTGCCCTCTGACCATTCACACCATAATATTTATCCCTAATTGGAACACCACCGTTGAAAGAAAAACAAGTCTGTCTCTGATTTCTGATGCCATGCCTTTCTGAAGCTTCCAAGAGAACCGTCGGTCACTCACCGTAAGACAGAAATTCCTGATTTTATTCAGCTCTCTCTGTAAATTATCCAGGGCACACACCCACGCAAGCTGACATACTTACTCACCTCAACCAGCAAACACCATCTGAGGCAACCAGTCCTTCTGCAGGTCCTGCTGAATACCTAACACACTCTCACAATCCTATATTTCTGCAAAATACTGATTTTAAAGGCTTAACTTGCTTTTAAATAAAAGGGGGAAGAAACAAACTTGTTCACCTTCCCTTAAATGTTAAAGAAGGGGAAAAAGTTAGATTATACCTCAGAGCTGGAAAAAATCCATCAGAACTAAATATCCAGTGTCACTTTTTAAAAGAAGAGGAAGGGAGCTTCAGTTCATGATGTAATTTGTCTTATGTCCAAACAAATTTCGTTACTTTAAGTAACGGATACAAACATTCTAAGGCTGGTTGCCATCTCAGAAGAACTCTACAAGGATTTTAGAGTCTCAAAACAAAAATTAAAAAAGCTGGTTGATCCTTTACAAGATCCTGTAAAATTTATTTTGGACTATGACTGAAGTACTAAAAATCAAGGGACCTTAATTCTAGTTTTTGGTCTACCGTTGTCATACAGCAAGGTCAAGAGGATGTCATATAATAGTTTTCTGATCTTGGAAAGATGTGTGAATACATCTGAAAAAGGACAGTGTATGTTCTTTTGTTCCACCTGGGCAAATGACTTACCTTTAGGCCCCCTCAAACCAAGAGCACCAGGGGGGCCTTTAATGCCTGGGAGGCCACGAAGTCCCATCTGGCCTGGGAAACCATTCTCTCCAGGAGGTCCTGGGGGACCAGGGGGTCCAGGCCTCCCAGGGAGGCCAGAGGCTCCTGAGTCCGGTCGCTTGAGACTAGCAGCCATCTCAGCAAGATGCTCTAAAAGATAATAAACAAAATAGCCCATAGAAGTCAGAAGCATGAAAGTGACTCAAATGATAAAAGGGGTATTTCAAGTGTCTTTTTTTCTAAATGTGTCCCCAGAGCTTCAAAATTGGTGGCGAGAAGTGAATAAAGTTGGATCATTTTTGCATGGACTTTCTGCCAAGAGGCTTCACTGGTGCTGTTTTATTCAGCTCTCCCTGGATATATTTGGTCTTGCTGTTTTGAGACAGGGGAGGAGGGGGGTGAGAAAAAAAAAAAAAAAAAAACACAGCAAGTCTTTCTGATGGGTATTGTGCTAAAAGGAAGAGTATGTCACCTGAGTCCTGGCTGGTTATCTGAAAAGCCAGGATGGGAAGAAAATGAGTTTCTTAACATAGGTAGAAGTGGATATCCAGAAGCTTTTGAAAAGGCAAGGACATTGTCCAGAATTAGCATTGAGACAGTAGTTGAGACCTAGCCCCACGTTTTAGTTTGAAGATACTGAGTAAGCTAAAATATCCTGAGCATTCACAACTTCTTTTAGATTCCCCTCTCAAAAGTTTTTTCATGCTTGGAATAGACAACAGACACTAAAAATAGCTTGCTTCCTGGGAATGTTCATAGTCTGTCTTAAAAATTAATAACTGTGGGCTTTTTCAGGAACCATTAAATAGATTAAGAATCATCCACTAAAATGATGAAGAATAAGAAATCTTTCCTATGAAAATACTCTATGGGAAGTATGCCAGTATAATGTTTTTTTTAAGGTGTGAAGGAGATTATGATTTGGAAACAAATTCCTAACCAACAATTTAAAATTATTTAAATGTGAACATTCTAGTTTGCCTTATGTAAAACTTAACATAAAATTATAATTTTTTGAGATATAATATATAAAATTGAAATATTCTTTTAAGATTAAGTGTCTGCAATGAAGAGACTTATATTGGTTTTCAAATGTAGAGTGACAATTTCATTCTGGGAAAGCTCTACAAGTCTACCAGACAAATTAGGCTATCTCATGAGCATACAAAAGAAGAGTATCGCGACAGAATTGGTTCCAACCAGAATAAGTTAATTATTTGTTAGAAGGCCTCCATGTTATAGGATCTCCCAAGTTTCTTTGTTCCCAGTTTCCTTTGCTATGTGACTTTAGAACTAGACCATTTCTGAAAGAGCTATGACAGACAACTGCTGTAGCCATAGATGAATTTAGACAAAGGTTAGCAAAGTAAAAATATATCACCATTTTAGTAAAATACTAGTTATTAATTTTCTACCTATGTTATACATGAGTAGAGATAATGTCCTTATGCTTCTTATGGGCATGAAGACTGTCAATTATTTCACATATAAGCTACACAAAGAGCCAAGGTCAGTGCCTTATACACTAAGTAGTAGGATGTTAAGGAGGGGGAAGGATACCTGAGAATTTGTGTTCCAAAAGGGGAAAAAAAGTGTGTGTGTGTGTGTGTGTGTGTGTGTGTGTGTGTGTGTGTGTGTAACCTTTTTATTTTTTTCAGGCTATAAGGTTTTGTGTGGCAACAAACTGGATAAAACAATATTAACATTATTCAAGATCTCCCACCTTTAAAGCAAACAAAAGTCAAGACATTATGATTTATTTACCTTGCATGACTCTCATGCAAACCTGCTTTATGTGCTGATCTGTTGGTGCTCTACCCTGGGACAGAAAAAAAAGACGGTTTGTAAACAGAACCATAAAGAAGACATTGTTAAATGGTAACCTGACCGACTCGGCAAGTGACCAGGTGGCAGGATTTACAAGAGAACCCACCCACACTGCTGAGGAGCTCCAGTCTGGGCCAGCCTGGCTCCCCACCCCCCTTCTGGTGCTGTGAGACTAAGTCTCCAACGGGAAACCCTGGGGACTGTCCGCCACTCACTGGAGGGCCCTGGATGCCAGGCAGGCCGGTGGCACCCTGCTCTCCCTGCACGCCTCGCGGTCCAGGTGGTCCTCGCGGTCCTTCCACTCCGGGAAGCCCCCGACTGCCTTCAGGCCCCCTCAAGCCAGGGTCCCCAGGGTTACCCACCTAGAACACAATGGCACGTTAAAAAACCAGGGCTATCCACAAGTAATGTTCTGCTTCGTGTTAATACAAGACTTACATGAAATTTGGAGTTTGCTTACATTTTATCTCCCAAGAGGTATTTGCTCAGAGGTTACAAATATGCTGCTCTGAGAATTCCAGTCTCTAAGAATTCCAGTCAAATAAAGCTTTTCAAAATCTTTCTTTTTGGTAGAGTTACTATTTCAAAATACTCATTGAAATAATATATTTAAAACCACATTTTTTTATACTTTAAGCCACTTCCTAAGAACAAGTTAGTTTTTAACAAGACTTATTCAATTTTTGGTCACAAAAAGGCCACTGACTTCCTACAAGACAGGTTACTTTGTATGTCAGCAATACAGAAAGCATAAAATAAACATATTTCCAAGAACGTAAATTATTTAGCTTTATAACATTCTGGAGAATTTAAAGAAGCCAAATGTATCCAGGAATTCTAAAATACTAACATTAACTAAATACATTTAAAATGCTGCACCTAACACGATACATTTAAAATGCTGGAACAAAAAAAAAAAATGAGTCCATAATTTATTGAAGTATTGAGGAAGCTAAAAATCTAAATACTAAAGAAGTTGAAAAATAAACTATTTCCTTAGCACAAAAGCATATAACAGTTTTTTTTTCTGAAAGCAGACCACTAAAAGCATTTTTTAAAGTTCCCATCTACAAGAACTGCTTTAAAAGAGACTAAACTAATTCACTGTTAAGTTCCCTGTGGTAGAGTTTATGGCATCGTAGTTAGTTACAATGTGCCATTGTTTACAGAATAAGAATGAGAAGATAAAAGGACAGAAGGCATTAAGGAATGCTAGTGCTCACTATAAAGTTCATAAAGCAACTTAACCCTGCTTCCTTTTCATATGCAACATTCACCTAGAAAGAGCCAACTTTTTTAAACCTTCAAACGTTGTAAGGAAGGGAGAAGGTGGTGAGGCAGGGCTTTCACTAGACACATCTGAATATAGCTCAGCAAGTGTGCCTTTTCCAATCTTTCTTTATGAAAAAATGATACTCATCTAAGTCAACCTGTCAGAATTGCTTCTATGATGAAATTATGGCTTAAAGACTTCCTGAAAGGCAGTGTCAGCAGAGAGAACTAAGGATGTGCTGTGGAGGGTTGGGAATTGTCAAATGACTACAGTGCAAAATTTTAACAGCTTCTAAAACTGCCCAGAGGAGAAGCCAAAGTGAGTCTGGAAGTGCACTAAAGAACTGGCAGGAAACAAAGGAAACCAACTCAGAGTCCATCATCTTGTTGACAATGTCCGAAATACTTCTGGAACAAGAGACAGGACATTTTGATGAAGAGATCAAGGGCCAACATGGCTAAGGCATCACAAGGGTCCTGGGTCTTTGGAAAGAATCCTTCAATTGAATAGTGGTATGCCAAAGTAGAAACTGGTGTACAGACTTCACCTACTTATCAGGTTGTCTATGCTGACATCACTGAGGAAGGTGAAGTGTGTCTGCTCATAATTATTTCCCTATTCTGGGACAACACACTTCAGCTGCATCAGTATTACATGGGTGGTGTCAGACAAGAGGGGTAGGAAGGGAGGTGATAAATCAAGAGTTAACTCCCAAATTTAAATGAGACTCATTTTGATCACTGCATTGTTCACTCACTTTTTCCTTTTATAACCAGAATTCTTACCATTGAACATTACTGATTATTTCTAAAGAGGGAAGTAGGATTTCTGTTTTTTTTTTATTAACTTGTTTTATTTTTTATTTTTTAAAATTTACATCCAAATTAGTTAGCATATAGTGAAACAATGATTTCAGGAGTAGATACCTTAGTGCCCCTTACCCGTTTAGCCCATCCCCCCTCCCACAACCCCTCCAGTAACCCTCAGTTTGTTCTCCATATTTATGAGTCTCTTCTGTTTTGTCCCCCTCCATGTTTTTATGTTATTTTTGTTTCCCTTCCCTTATGTTCATCTGTTTTGTCTCTTAAAGTCCTCATATGAGTGAAATCATATGATTTTTGTCTTTCTCTGACTAATTTCACTTAGCATAATACCCTCCAGTTCCATCCACGTAGTTGCAAATGGCAAGATTTCATTCTTTTTGATTGCACAGTAATACTCCATTATATATAAAAGCTTTTACCACATCTTCTTTATCCATTCATCCATCAATGGACATTTGGGCTGTTTCCATACTTTGGCTATTGTTGATGGTGCTGCTATAAACATGGGGGTGCATGTGTCCCTTCGAAACAGCACACCTGTATCCCGTGGATAAATGCCTAGTAGTGCAATTGCTGGGTCGTAGGGTAGTTCTATTTTTAGTTTTTTGAGGAGCCTCCATACTGTTTTCCAGAGTGGCTGCACCAGCTTGCATTCCCATGAAGTAGGATTTCTATTACGAAGTCCTACCAAGGTTTACTCTATGTTTTTGTCAATCGTAAGATATTTCTGTCAAAGATTCTTAGGCATAAAGATGTTACTTGAAGCTTGAGACTATCAATGGTGTTTAGAGGCAGTATGTAAACAGGTGACCTAATACTTTTTAATTCACGTGTATGTAAAGAGCCCAGAGCTGGCACTGTAACCAAGTCTGGGAGGGAGGGTCCTCTGGGGGAAAGTCTGGCTCAGGATGGGGCTAACTGCTTAGGCAGGAAGTAGGTGTTCTAAGGAAAGAGGAAGAGTGTTTCAGGCTAGGAGAACAGCACAAGGCATTACACAGCATGCCAAGCAAAAAGCACTGCAAACAGATGAACTTCCAGAGAGGTAAAGGTGAGGTTGGCAAGGCAGAGTCCACTTTATCCAAGACTTATATATTTTGCTCAATGTCTGATTTTATTCTACCAAATGTTATTCCTGAAGGGTTTATGCAGAGGAGGGATTAATAGTGGGCTTTATATTTTTATCTAGATGACACTGGCTGCTATGAGGATAATGTGTTGTACGGGACAGAGAACAGTGGAGATTCCAGAAACAGGAGGGACAAAAAGATAAACCAGAAGCTGGTGGTGGCGGCATTTGAGGTTAGAGTCTGAGCTTCATCTTTTCTCCTTATACTCTTTTAAATTTCTTTGTATTAGATGTGCATTCCTTTCAAACTAGCAAATCACCCCAGGTTTGCTGGTTTCTGTAACTGGTTCTACTAGTCTTGTTGTAATAATTGGTTCTATTATTGGTTCTATAATTCTGAATACATATAATCTCTAAGGACATCAGTTTAGTTTCTGTAAAATGATGAATGAGATGATCATTTTCTAGCTTTAATAATTGTTATATTTTCTTATGCATTATGACTTTGTTACTTCCCCAACTAGAACACACAGGAGATTGATAAAATTACTGAAATATTTGCAATCGTAAGACTGCCAATGAAATTTATTTATACTCTTGTCACCACAAAGGACAAGTCAGTCCTTTTAAAATGACCCATTTGGGGCGCCTGGGTGGCTCAGTCGGTTGAACGTCCAACTTCGGCTCAGGTCATGATCTCGTGGTTCACGGGTTGGAGACCCACATCGGGCTCTGTGCTGACAGCTCAGAGCCTGGAGCCTGCTTCAGATTCTGTGTCTCCCTGTCTCTCTGCCCCTCCACTGCTCATGCTCTGTCTCTCCTCTCTCTCTCTTTCAAAAGTAAATAAACATGAAAAAAATGACCCATTTGTGAAAGAAATTACCATGTATTCTCATTGAGCCACTTATGAAAAAAACTTCCTTCAGAGTAGTGAGTTCAAAAGGTAGATCCATTTACATTGTTGTGAGGTATTTTTTTTTCCTTTGGATGAATCCATTACTCAAAGAATAAATTTAGACATTAATTTCCTTGAAGGTAAGTCCTTTAAGAATTGAATTTTATAGAGTGATTTCATAAAGCAGAGTATTGCATTTTCTGTAGTTTTATTGATATTTTTATTTTTTATACCATTATTGTTCATTGTACTTACAGATCCCTTTGGCCCAGGTAATCCTATATCTCCCTAAATCAATAAAAAAAAATTGTATTAGAACAATGCATTCACATTTGATAGTCTACTAAAAACATTTCAAAGGTTATTGTGCTGCTGAAATCTACAGAAAACTATGAACAGATGGACCCTGGCACTGCAGAAAAACATTAGATTCAAAATTTGGATTCTAGTACCAGTTCCACTACTTAACTTTGTGACCCTCTGTGAGCTTTATAACCTCCTAGCCTTTGGCTAACCTGTTAAATAACAGGGTTGAATCAGAGCTTTACAAGGCTCCAACTAGATCTAAAATGCTAGGTGTGAGAATTAAAACGTGTAAGTCAAAAGATATCAAACTAGCATGCTATTTCAAAACACAGTAGACATTTAAACCTGATGACTTCATTTTTGAAATTCTAACAGTGTTTTAAAACTTATCCCCAAAAGTCTATCAAACCAAATATGAATGGTTTTATGCTTAAAAAATAAAATTTGGAAATCTCCCACCCCTAATTCTAGATGTGAATTCAGCTCCAGTTTTAGCGCATCAGTTCATCTCCACTACAAAACAGAATGACTTAAAACATCCTCTTAGCCCAAAAAATTAAAAATTTTAACAAAAAATAAAATTAAAATAATCCTTTTTCAAATTTACTTAATAAAGAGCTTTGCCTAATTTAGAAGCTACATTTATATTAGTTCTAAATCCTGATAATCTGAATAAAACATTACTAGAATTTTTTCCTGCACTAAGTGCTCTCTGGAACTATTTTATGAGAAATCTGTTACCACTCCAAAGGACCAAACGTAAGTTTTCACATTAGGTCATGTTAGATTGTGTCAAAACCATAGAGATGAGCCAGCAGATCTAGCAGTTCTTGCAATAAAGATAATTTTTTCTCATTCTTACTGCCTTTCTGGAGATTTAGCAGCAGCATCCTCTGGAGATGGAGGTCACTTCTTTGGAAGGTTTTAGACTACAGAGAATACCTACAGTCACACTTGTGAGCCACAGCTTTGTAACCCTAATAAAATTAATTTTGTTTCCATGATAGGCACTATTCACAGAATTTCTATAGTCCTATAAGAATCACTTGGAATGTCTAGGTGTAAAGCCACAAGAAAATTCACCACCTATAAGAGAATACTTTATTCTCCAAAGGCTTAAGGCCAGGTCTATCAGTTTTGGGGTGTTTCCCCTGTGCTTTACTTGATCTTGGCTGCAGTCTTGGGAAGTCATTAGTTTATGTAAGAAACATTGTAGCCACCATAGAAGTCAGCAAGTGACAGTAGCAAAGAAAAAATATGTTTCTAATACAATTAGAAATCAGTACAGCTCATCATTAACCAGAACAAAATGTCTTACAAGTTCACCCCTTTCTCCTGCTTCTCCTTCTTCACCAGAGGAACCCTAAAAATTAAGATTAAAAGTCACATTTTTGAATTCTCAGTCCCTTGCCTCAGTTTTAACCAGTCAACATGGATAAGCATTCCGAAGTGCCCACAGTGCCCCCTGGATCATGCAGAAATACAAAATGCTCCCAATGGCTTCTCAATCTGTCAGTGGCTAGTCTAAATCAGAAGAAAGCCTAGAGAAAAGATAGAAGGCGAGGCTGAGTTTCTTCTAAACTTAAGGATTAATGATTGTATCCAGCAATTTTAAAATTAGGTATTCCTTGGGGCACCTGGGTGGCTCAGTCGGTAAGTGTCTGACTCTTGGTTTCAGCTCAGGTCTTGTCTTGATCTCATGATTTCATGAGTTCAAGCCCCACATCAGGCTCTGTGCTGACAACATGGAGCCTGCCTGGGATTCTCTCTCCCTAGCTCTCTACCCCTCCCCCACACACTGTCTCTATCTCTCTCAATATAAATAAACTTTAAAAAATAAATTAGTAAATAAAATTAGGTATTCCTTGAAAAAAAGGCTTTCACTGTAGAAAAAGGAACCCACAAAAAGGATTAATTATAATTCATGTTCATAATTTGTTTGTTAAAGTCTTGATACAGAAGAACTCAAAATATGATGATGTGGCTATAGAAGGCTCTATCAGTTACAAGTAAACCAATCCTGTGAATCAGAGCCAGGACACTCTTTTCATAGGAAAGACAATGTGTGGTCTTAGAGGCAGAGCCATCATCAGCTCCAGCTTATTGAAGTAGTAGATAAGGTTACAGACAAAACTAAATTCTAGCTTTCACACACTATGAATGAAGCACATTGAGCAAAACTGCTAGCCTCCATCTTTTTATTCACACCATAAACCAGCCAGTGCCCCCTGCTGGTGAGGTATATTAATATGCATTACTCACTGCATCTCATATTCTTGATTGGACCCACCTGTTCACCCTTTGGACCAGGTTCACCAACTGCTCCCTGTATTGAATAAAATATAATACTTTTTCAGTATTTGGAGATAATTCAACTACATAATTTCAAATGAACCAACTTCCCATATCAGGCTGGCAGACAAGGACACATATGAATGATGTGACAGATGAGGTCTTGCTCCTCTCCTCACAACCTAACAACTGTCAGGTGAGACCTGGAGAAACTGACAGTTGTCCAAAAGCTGAAAACTTGGGGTGTTCTCTGTTCATGCCCACATAAACCTGACTGGTAGGAATGTAAATTTAAAACTAAACAGAAGTATGATTACAACTGAAATTTTTACTTTTCTCAACTTTCATTTTTTCCTTCTGAGAAATTATTATCTTAGACTTCTTTTGCTTCTTGATCCCAACTCTCAATAATTTAGGATGCCTTTCTTGATCACTGTCTATGATCATTGCTATAAAAATCTCCACTGCACCAAACACACAGCTTGGTTTCTCATAGTAAAAATCAAAACATAACGAACTTTTTGGAGGGCTGGCTTACCCTGTCACCTTTCATTCCAGGAAGTCCAGGGGGGCCAGGCAAGCCAGGGAGGCCAGGACTACCCAGAGAACCCTGAAAAACAAACACAGAATCTCCCAAATCAGTGTTACTGCAACACCGCAAGCATGCAAGGCAGACACAACCTCGGGTGTGTTGACTCCTGTCTAAAATAAATGTGCTGTGGTTGGTATAGCTCTGCTCCTCAAATCTGCCTCTCTCCCACAGTCTAAGGAAGAAATAGGCGAGTCCCTCCACCCGCTCTGTCCCACCTCTGAGGTCCTCAGTTCCTGGGTTTGCGCCCCCCCCCCCCCAACAGTGGGCTCTTTCAGTGGAGCCCGTGCAATGGTAGTGCTTCTCTGGCTGTGTAAACAAGCCTACTCAGAGAAGTCAAAGGCAGCATTCACATACTTCTCTTCAATTTCAAGAACAACCAGAGGCCAAATGTAGCACTTCGTGTCTCTCCTCGTTTCAAAATGTATGCTACAATCCACACTGATTCAAACACCCTCTGGGGGTATCCTAGATATAATGTGAAATTCCGCATTTACATTTTCACACATTCACAGCACAGTAGAAATCAAGCAAGGATGATTAAATCACTCTTCGCACATTGTTTTTCTCTCCTTGCTTATTTTTATAAGTTGACCATGTTTTGTATGAAGCGTATAAACTGCTGGAGACTGGAAATACTACTCACCAGTTTACCTGGTGGTCCTGGGGGTCCCACTGGTCCTATTTCACCTCTGCTGCCCTGGAAAAACACAAACATGACTGTCAACTGGACAGTTTGCCAGAATTCAAATGCTTAATTACTATGTCAATAAAATAACATTCTGCTTAGGTTTTTGTTTAAATATAAAAGTCATCAAAGTATTCTCCCCAAGTTCAACATTGTTACATAAAATGCCCACAGCCTCCCCACTTATTCATCCTTCAGTGAATGTGTTAACTGTTCATTGTGATTACAAACCATTAGATAAAAATGATGTCTGATACATCCATGTGAAATGACAATTAGTAATTTTCAGCATCTAAGTCACACTATAACTTATGTTATGGCTATTTGTGTATATGTTTTATCCTCTCATTTAGATTATGTGCCCTTGAGGTATAGGTATATTAATTTTGAATTCTGCAGAATGCCTAAACACAGAGTAAATTTCAGGTCTACGGTACATTGTAATGCAGCGTCTGGTAAAAGATCTTGGACCGCAAAAGAGTGAAAAAAGAGAAACAGGACAGGGATGTTTATCTTTAAGTTACTAATGCAACTTCAAAAAGAGATAATAGAAATTTACAAAGTTTCTGACATACAAAATTCTTTGTTCTACACATTCTTGTTCTAAACATATCTTAAAAGATTAAATAAACTTTGGAAAGTACAATTTATAATGAAAATGCACCAAAACCAACATTTCATTTTCTGAGCCAACTTCAATTTTTTATTTGAAACTCTAAGCCTTTTGAGAAAAGGAGACATGAATTCTTCAATTTCTTTCCCCAAGAACCTCATACAGTTTTATGCAGTCTGATAAACGTTTATTTTGAACACATATTCAACTCAACTGAACACAAGGCTATTGGGTAAATAATCACATTTCCTGGGCAGTATAAATAAAAATGAAAGTAGTCTTTTGACTTCATTTTACTTTAAAATGACACAAAAACTTCATATTAATTTTTGATATTTATATATTTTTTAATGTTTATTTATTTTTGAGAGAGAGAAAGTGCAAGCAGGGGAGGGGCGGGGGGGGTGCAGAGGATGACAGCAGAAAGCCACATTCAGGGCTCAAACTCACCAACCGGGAGATCATGACCTGAGCCAAAGTTGGATGCTTAACCAACTGAGCCACCCACATGCCCCTTTGATATATATAAATGCTTCTGCTAAGATGATCCTGATCTGGCCCATATACCATTCATTTATCTATAATTTGAACTAAGTGTCAAGATCTATCATCATTCTGAATTTCCAGTTTTTTTTTAAAGGATTAAGAAATGTTTGCTAAATTACAGGTCTCTAGCTTGGAGCTCTAATTAAGCGGCAGTCGTTTCAAATGAATTACAGGTGATTTAAATGAAAAGCTCTTAAATACTTTATAAAAAATGTTTATATAAGCAGCTTGTCTAGTATATAAGTTTGTATGGTACATTAGCCCTTAACCCTTATAAGCAGCTTAGAAGCCTGAGGCAGCGTCCTTTGAGGATGGGCACTGGAAAGATGTAAGAAACCAGCCACTGTGATAGATTCTATCCATCTATAAATATAAATATAAGTACAAATATAAATATAAATATAAATATAAATAAAGACTGGATTCCATCCTGTTAATTTAGCCCAGCACTTGAAAGTTCAAGACAGATTTTCTTCAGTATGTCTGTTCTGCTGGCATTTTCAATAATTTCTGAACTGCATCATGATTAAGATCCTAAATGTCATTGGGCTAACATGACTTTAATTCACAGAATAATTAATAATCATCAGTGGGAAAACTAATTAATGATATCAGAAGAGGAAAGCAGTTCTTGACACAAACTCAAGTATTCACTTCTAAATAAGTGAACCATTATGCCAAAATAAAGATGATTGATGTACTTTTTTTCTCTTTCACAAACCAAAGGGCTAAGTTAAAATAGAGGATTGGATAACTTTTCATTTCTTTCTTGTAGGGATTATTTTTCCAGTCAAAGACAAAGATTTTTCTCTGCTGGTATCTTATTTTTTCTGTCTTTCAGGAGCTCTTATTAGTCAATTCGTAAGTGTTTTCCAGCTGCTGGCAGGACCTTGGCAACACATATGAATGGCTCAGAACCCCAGTGTAGACAGTCTGTTCTGCTGAACTTCTACACCCACGAGCCCAGCACACCCAGAGGACTAGAGTAGGACTAGAGGATCAGTAAAATTACAAGCATTTTTCAGCATGTGTTACTCATTTTTATTTCTCTTCCACCCTTTAAATTCTTGGCCATATTATTTTATTTTTTCAGAGATTAATTTTATTTATTTTATTTTGAGAGAAAGAGAGCATGAACACTTAACTGAGCCACACAGGTTGTTGGCCATTTGAAACATAGGTATTTCTATAGAAATCATCTCAAGTTTGACAAAGGTGATGTTTATTTTCACAACAATGACCAAGCAGTTATAAATAAATAGAGTGTTAGGACAAGATTTTCTGATGGCCATTCTTAGGATTTCTATGTATTCTAAAAACATTTTCTAAGTTCTAGAATTTCACCTGTGAGTAAGATGAACATGAGTATTCAAGATATAAATAGTAATCTTTAAAAACATAGATTAAACACATGTTGTAGGGAGCAATTAACCATGACCTTGGAACCACAGGTATGCTAAATACATGTAAACCTCCTGTTTTTCAAAAGCTGTGGTGATTACCATATTCTCAGATAAGGTCAAGGGAGACTGGTAGGAATATGGCTTTTCTGCTCAGTGGCTAATATTTACAAACCCTGTGACAACAAGAGTTCTGATTTGTAACAAAAAAAAATTGTAAGGGACCAGAAAAAAAGGCAGAACCCTACCATTAAAAAAAAATGAGGAACATTAAAAGGCTTTATTTTTCTCTTGGATGCTCAGTGCCACCATATATATCTCCAATATGTTCAGACACATCTGCCAACTCCTCCCTATTTAAGAAGCCAATCAATGCTTTAAAAAAGATGCAGACCCTCTACCAGTGATTCCCAACTATGGCTGTGCATTAGAATCCCCCAAAGAGTGTTTTAGAAATATAGTTCCCTTGGGGTGCCTGGGTGGCTTAGTCGGTCGAGTGTCTGACTCTTGATTTCGGCTCAGTTCATGATCTAACAATTCATGGGATTGAGCCCTGCATCAGGCTCTGCACTGATAGCATAGAGCCTGCTTGGGATTCTCTCTCTCCCTCTCTCTGTCTGTCTGTCTCTCTCTCTCTCTCTCTCTCTCTCTCTCTCTCCATCTCTCTCTGCCCCTCCCCCATGCTCACATACACGCTCTCTCTCTTTCTCTCTTAAACTAAATAAACACTAAAAGAACTATATTTCACCAGACATCTTCCACCACTCCATCTCCCTGCTCCTCCTTCTGCTTCCCTCCTCCTTGCTCCCATATATTCTTATTTTGTAGTTCTGAGGTAAGACCCAAGAATCTGTGTGGATTCATGTCATATTTGTCTTCACCAGCTTTACGTAAACTTTTGTTAAATGCTCATTATGAAAATTCCATAAACACCAAAATTTTAAATTTGCTAAATATGCCTTGGACCATTAGAATCTGGCAAGCTAACTTCAAATGAAAACCATCCTGCAGAGCCTTGACTAGAGCTGGCAAGGTACTGGAGATGAGGCCACAGGCACTGAGCCCCACTGCCAGTCCTGGCCCTGCTGTGCATCAGCCGCCAGTCCTGGCCCTGCTGTGCATCAGCCAACTCCAGGCCCGTAACTTCACCTCTCTGTGCCTCAGTTTCCTTACCTATGAAGTGGGGATAAAAGCGGTACCTATCTCATAGGGTTTTTGAGAGGATTGAATAGATACATAAAGCACTTAGAACAGTGTCTGGCTCATAGAAAGCACTGTAAACATTGGTTACTGTTTTTATCCAAGATTTTACCCAAGGCCTAAAGAAATCAGTCAAAATTATGTTTTTTAATCAAACGTTTAATTAAATTGTTCTTTGCGTTTCAAATCTCCCATTTCTTTGAGTTGTAAAAATTGCTCTTGGAAAAAAAAAAAAAGTCTGCAATCTTCGTTTCTCTAGTTTCTATCAAGACCATTAACCACCGAGAAGGTACCTTCTTTATAAATAAATACTGGGAGCTGTTTTGTAAAACTAATTTCAATAAATACAGACAAATTATTCCACTTGGAACTCTCCCTTTTAAAATAGAGCTACGAGACTTTTAAAATATCATGGAAAAATCTATTTCATTATACTGATGTTATCATACTTATTTTGCAAAAAAAAAAAATTTTGGATTTTATTCCATTGTCCTCTAGATTGTGATGGTGGTTGCATTTGCCTGATTACCGAAAATGCTAACTAGATGAAGAATGAACATTATTCTTAGTACTATGCTAATTTTGGAAGTGAGAAATTATAAATCATTATACTTAGTCTGGAGTATATACTTAAGTGCCTCTCTCTGGGAAAAAGGATGCTGATTAACCCAGAAGATCAATTATGATTTCTACAGATTGTTGCTTTTACAAAACCATTTTCATATTAATATTAGAAGATGATATTAGTCCTAGTGCAATGGTAATTTTTAGGTTTGCCACAAAGATATTTTAAAAATCTATTCAACTTTACAGCATTGTATAGTTTTATTTCTCTCTGGTGTAGGTTTAAATACTCTTGCACACATGGAGGCAGATTAAAATCTATAACCACCACAGCTGCTTCACAAATTATTGACAGGGATAATATTCCATGGCCTGGGTGGCACAGGAAGGCAGTTTCGACCATTCGACAACATACCATATGGGGACCTCTGTGCCCAGAGCTGTTGACGATAGGTGGGGGTAGAACTTCAAGAGAAATGAGAGAGGCTTCTGTACTCCAGGAGTGTATAATCTTCAGAAAACTGGAAGCAGATCAGCATGGCGCTCGCTCATCCCAGTCAGAATCATGAGAGCAGAGCAAACACAACTCTCTCAACAAAAGCCCTGGCAAGTTCTGGGAATCCTGAAAGACGGAAATGGACCAGGAGCCACTGGATCCGAGGCCCCAGCCATAAGCCTGCTGTAAACCAGGAGTCACCCAGATCCAAGTGAAAAGCAGTAGAGTGTGACTGAGAAAGCCAGAAGCATGATCCAAGTGGTAAAGATATGTGCTCATATGTCATCACTGGCGGTGACAAAAAAACCTCCCATATATCTTGCTGTGGCATTGGCTAAAGCTGTTAGAACAATGGTTTGGAAAGGGGAACACCACTTAATTTCAAAGACATGCTCCAATTAGCCTAGTCCATTAGTAGGACACATTAGAAATAGGTTTTCATTCCTTCTACTCAGCTTTTCAATTTGACATTTTCAGGAAAAACTGCTAAAACTTGTGAGGAATAGTTGAAAATGTGTGAACCTTTATCTATGAAACTAAATTTAATGATGTAAAATGAAAGAATAAATGTATCCTAACTAAGTAGATTTGATGTTAAAACTCTGCTCCAGAACTCTAATACTTAGAACCTCTTGTGACACTTTTCTATAAAATTTATAGTAGGTGAGAAGTCAGTTATTACCAACATAAGCAGCATAGCAAGATTTATTATACCTCCAATTCAGTTCATTTTAAGAAATATTTATTAAGCACCACCTTGCGACAGGCCCTGAGTAAAGAGATGTAGGGACCAAAAAGGCGGATCACAGGTGTCCCTGCATCCCCGCTGTTTCCACAGCAAGGGGCAAAAAGGGAGGCACACCATAAGAGACTCTTAAATGCAGAGAACAAACTGAGGGTTGCTGGAAGGCAGGTGGGTGGGGGAGGGCAAAATAGGTGATGGGCATTAGGGAGGACACTTGTTGGGATGAGCACTGGGTTCATATGTAAGTGATGAATCACTAAATTCTATTCCTGAAACCATTATTACACTATAGGTTAACTAACTTGGATTTAAATAAAATCTAAAACAATAAATAAAATTAATTAATTTAAAAAAGTTTTCAGGGGCCCAGGCTTGTAGGGTTCAGAATAAGGAGAGAGCACTTCTATCTGGAGGATGGGACATAATCAGAGATGGTTTCATTGTACAATTAACATTTTAATCACATCTAAGAAGACACATGGGACATTGAGAAGAAAGCCATCTAAGTGCAGAGCATAAGAAAAGAAGGGCAGGCTGAGAAGTACAGAGACTATTTGGAAATTAGCATGGAGTCCAGCTTGACTTGAACACAGGCTGGCTCTGAGCAAGGCAGAAGTGGAACATAAAACTAGAGGGTAAACCAACAGTTTAAGATTTGGTACTTTCTTTAATTGCCAGTGGAGATCCATGGAAGATTTGTAAATAAAGAAGAGAAGTGATGACAGAAGGCATACTTCAAAAAGACCAGGATGGCAGTCTGCACAGCTGGGGTCACAGCCAGTCCCCAGGCCTCTGAAATGGTGCCTGATACTTTTGTGTGTCACCATGGCCATGGGAACACTACTGGAGTTCTAGGGTAAGGTCCTGGGGAACACAGAATTATCCCAACCAAGATGATGCCAAGAGTACCTTGTTGGGAAACACTGGTAGAGGAAGGATAGACAAGCTGGGGAGGCAAATCAGGAGACAACGGATAATCCAAGCAGCAGCTAATGATCTGAGCCAGGACAGTGGAAGTCGGCTTAGAAAAGAAGAGTCAAATGTAAGAGACCTTCAAAAGGAGGTGGTAGAATCAGCGGGTCCTACTAGAGATAGGAATCATGACCGAAGAAAAACACCAAAGCTTTGAGCTGCAATGAGAACCTAGACATTTACAGAAACGCAAAAATCAAAACCTGAATCAGGTTGAAACATAGGCAGAACAGATATAGGCCTAACAGATCTGCCTGCCCTCACATAAAAGAAGTAAACACTCCCACCCCATCTCCTTCCGCAGTTCTGCCTCTGGTTCTCAATATATCCCATGGCACTTAACTGATGATGGGCCAAGCCCTCTCTACTGTGTCACATTTTGTGCTTCAGTGTGTGGTCCTCACACACAGCAGGTGCTCCTTCACCTTTACTGTTTTCTGCTCTACAAAGTGAACACTAGACTTAATAGCCAACATTCTCAAAGTTTCAGTGCCCCTTTCCCACACTGTTAAATCTTTCTGGACCAGTCACGGAGAATCTTCATTGTTTTAGGAATGTGATCTAGCTACAAACTCATTGCTTTGGCAGTCAATTTAAGGAAAGTATTTTAATTAGAAATGTGCAGGCTTCAAGCAAGAGAGAAGAAAAGGATAAGTGAGCAGCGAGGGAGCAAGGAGCATAATGAGGGGCAATAGCTAGTTTCTTTGGCTGCAGAGAAACTTTTGGAAACCACCTGGTAGAGGTCAGTTGACAAACATCCATGAGAAATGGAAAAATTCCCCTCTCATGTCACAAGACACCTGGAATATTTCACTTCCCTCAAACATGAAAATCCTCATTCAGCATGCTCATGAAATGCTTTAAAAGAAGTAACAACAATATTTAGAAATAATTCTGTGTTCTCACTTGGAATTCTTTTTGATACTCAGCAGATTTTGAAAACAAGAACTTTATACTGAAGGCCAGAGAGAATTTTTTAAAGTTCACATTAACGTTTAATTTCCTAATCAGTTTCTCTCTAAGGGTTAAAGGGAAAATCTACGTTGCTGTATTTGATGCAAAATAGGCACATTTACAAACTCACACTAAAAAATGTCTGGCAGTTTCTCAAAAACCTAAACATAGTTCTCACATGACCTAGAAATTCTACTTCTCGGTATTGTACTCAAGAGAAAAACATGGACCACACAAAAACTCATAGAAAAATTTTCATAGTAGCATCATTCATAATGGCCAAAAAACAGAAATAACCCAAATGTCCATCAGTGGATGAAAGAATGAATGAAATTTGGTATATCCATGCAACTGAAATTATTCACCAATAAAAAGGAATGAAGTACGGATACATGCTACAGCATAGCTAAGACTTGAAACATGTTGAAAGAAGCCAATCACTGAAAAACCCACATAATTATATGATACCATTTATATGATATTTTCAGAACAGGTAAATGTACAGAGACAGAAAGTGGATTCGTGGTTGAGTAGGGCTGAGAAGATTGGGAGGAAGTGTTGAGTGACTGCAAGTGGACACAGAGTTTCTTTTTTGGATGACGAAAATGTTGAAAATGGACTGTGGTAATGGTTGCATAATTCCACAGATATGCTAAAAATCAATAAATTGTATACTTTAAATGGGTGGATTATATAGTACATGAATTATGTCTCAGTACCATTGTTCTTTAACCACACTAAAATATTTCCCTCAACATGAGATGAGAGCAAAAAGGGTCATCATGCTTTTTAAACATATTTTAAACATTTTTAAAGTTTTATTTCCACTTTCTGAATTTAAAAAAAGCATGTGTATACATAAATAGCATTCCCATTCCATTGTCTCTCTCGGCTAGGACATGCTCAAACACCAGAAGGCATTCATGGATAAATGAACAAATGATTGGAAGAACACCCAGCAAAACCCTGAGAAGGCACCTTGGAAGGTTCTACAGAAAAGGAGTACTCACAGGAAGCCCTCGGGGTCCTCGGGGTCCCACTTCTCCTGGAGGCCCCTGTTGGCCCTATTATGAGGAAGGCAAGGAAAGAAAAAGTTAACACTCCCTAATTCTTTGCTCACTGATTGCAACAGGTTATAATATAAGGAAAGGTAACTCATGGCATCTTACCGGTTTACCTGAATTCCCCAATTGACCAGGCTTCCCTGGAGCACCTGTGTTACCCTAAAGGTAAAGAGCAACATTCAGAGTAATTCAGACAGCAAGTAAGCATATCATCAACCTGTCTAGGCCAGACCAGGCATTTCTGACACCTAAATAGCATTAATTTCCCAATTTCACATTGCGAATTTGGGAAGATGTAGAATCTCTTTCTTAGTGGATACATTAAAAAGTTTTTCAGATTCAGGATAATGTTCTGTTATTCCCACAAGTATAGTAAAGGTGTCAAAAAGTCCAAAAGTGAAGGTCAATGTCAAAAAAATGAAGGTCATTAGCCAGACAAGAATATGAGAAAAGTTTTCTTTCTTCACAGTATTAATTATATGTGTCTTTCCTTTACCACTTCTGTCTCCAATACCTTTCTTTGAGCCCTTTTACCTGACACTGACACTATTAAAATTAAAAAGAATCCTGTGAACATGAGGAGTAAGAGGATGTGCTGTTGAGAAAAACCCTGCCAGCAAGCTCCAGGGAAAGCACATGTCTGGGATGTCATCTGCACCATCAGTCTCTCACAGTCTACTTATTAGGGAACATCTCTGCTCTTTAAAGATGCTGTGGACCCCTATAATTAGAGAGCTGTAGCCATATAACCTGGTAGTGACCAAATTCTACATTATTCACATTTTATCTATTTTATTCAAAGCTATGTCTTCTCCCTTTAATTTTTCTTTCACCTGTTGTTTTTAATTGTGACATAATTTCTATGGCTTAGTAACAATTTCCTTATTTTAAGTGCTAAAGAACAGTAACACTTTCTCTGTTTTCTACTGGCAAAGGATGACACTTTCAGGAAGGAAGTCTAATCAGCAACACTTTGTCAAAGTATTCTGTTTGCAGCTAGGAAAGAGAATAGCATTTGAAGCCATAAAGCCTTTTTCATTTCTCCTTAGAGTCAAAAATAAAAGTCAGGCTGGAAATACTAAAAATGATAAATAAAACACACTAACGAAAGAATAAAGAAATAGAGAAAAGTACTAATTAAAAAGGTTTAATCTTTTACCTTTTCACCAGCAACACCCTTTGCTCCAGGGATCCCAGGTACACCCTGAAAGAGCGCATACAGAACACGGGTTGAATCACTTCACCTGAGAATCTGCAGGTGCCGTGCTCACTTCATGCCGAGGGGCCAAGGGGATCGTGACAACAGCAAAGCTTTAATGTGAGGGAGCTTCTCCCTAGTTCCCAAATTCTGAACAGTTTAGAAGGAATTGCTTCACTGTATCTGGCTTGTTAAATCTGAACACCCTTAGGCAAATCCTGCCTCTAAACTAAAGTTATTTTTCAAGCATGAATTTCCAAATTATAATCCAGTACTATCTTCAGGTCAATGGGAGCTTCTACTACCAGCATGATTTGAGGTACAGAATAACAAAACAAGGACCTACCTACTGAATCGCTAACGCTTAAGTAGGAAAAAAAATGGCAGGAGAATGCTGGCTCTAACTAAAATTTGGTACTATTGGGAGTCCTAATGTTCTCTCACTGGTTATTTTGAAATGTCAGACAGATATCATAATAAATTGTGGCCAGTCCTCAAATCACCAAGTATCCCTTTGTAACCTTGAAACATGTGTCTCCAAGAATACATCTGTATAATCCACATTAGCCTCCAGCCACATCAATGCAGGGAAACACCAATTTGAATAATTCAAAATACCACACATCAAAAAAAAATGGTATCTTATATCTCACATTGTCCTATGAACATACTCTCAACCCTCTTATGGCTCAACTCTGCTAACAAGAACTTCAGAACTAGTTAAAAGTAGGAGGAAGTATATGACCCTGGCCCATAGCTCAGGGTTAGTGAAATAAGACAAATTGAGTGAACTAAAGATAGAAGATAAAATTGAAGCTTAGTATAGTTATTAGAGAAATAGCTAGTTATTCAGAAAAAAGTAGAAAATGTAAAACTGTAAAAATATAAAATTAAAGTATCATATATGTTCCCCAGAACTTATCAAATTATTTCTCCCTAAAATTCATATTTTCAAAATATGTACCCAAACGAATAAACATTTAAAGACTCAAATACTTACAGGTAACCCTTGCAATCCTGCATCACCAGGAGGCCCAGGTTTCCCTGGTTCACCCTGAAAAAAGAAGTTTGTATGCATCATTGGACTTGTATGAACTGCTTAATTTCTTTCAAGAAAGGAAAGGACACAGACCTTCTAAGTAGAAGGATAATCTCTACATCTGACCTTACATGCACTTTTATAATATGATCCAGTTCAGGGAGGGGGGAGGAGGACGATGGACTTAGGACATAAATTTAATCAAAATGCACAGTTTCTTTCAGCGACTTTCATTAACAGGGCAATTTTACTGAGTTCCTAAAACCAAGTAAAGAAACATACTATTCTAATAGTATTTTCAGTTGACACTTGATTTAAAAATTAAAAGGAGGAGAAAAGCCAAAGCCAGCTAAATACATTCCCCAGTAATGTAGTAATGGAAATGCTGTGCTTGGTTGGCCAGGGCCACACAGCTACCTTTGTTCCAGGCATTCCAGGTATCCCATCACGGCCATCCACACCTGGCAAGCCCTACAGACACACAAAGAAACAGACTGTCTCTCAGAAATAGTCACAGCCTTCTTCCCTTCATTATTTTCTAAAGTTTTATTAGAAGTTAATAATCACTTTGAAAAATGTGCTTGATAACTGTGGCTCAGGACATACCGTGTCTCCTTTGGACCCAGGGACACCAGGAATTCCTCTAGAACCTTGAGGTCCCTGCAGGGAAGAAAGGCAAGGATAGACAAGACATGCTCATTTATCACAATACTTAGGACACATCAAAGAGGTAAGCAGAATCAGAGGACACCAAAAAGCACCATGTTTACAGTGATTAACACTAATTTGAACTCACTCTATCTCCCTTGGGACCTGTTTCTCCTGGAGGTCCTCGCTGTCCTTGATCACCCTGTATGAAAATAAAATGTTGTTAATACAAGCAGAAGTCACTTATTGATAGACTTTTGAAATTATAAAACTCCATCCATATTACCTTACTACTGTTCTTTCAAACTTTGCTCTGACTTGGATGCCTAGCTCAAGAAATCTTTTTTATTTTTTATAATTTTTTTAATGTTTATTTGAGAAAGAGACAGTGTGAGCCAGGGAGGGATGGGGGTGGAGGGGGGGATACAGAGTCTAAAACAGGCTCCAGGCTCTGAGCTGTCAGCACACAGCCTGATGCGAGGTTCAAACTCACGTACCATGAGATCATGACCTGAGCCGAAGTCGGACACTTAAACAACTGAGCCACTCAGGCGCCCCTCGAGAAGTCTTTTTATAAAATTACATTGTCTTAAAAATTTATATTGCCATGGGGATAACTGAGACTTACGTGTCTTTTGATTTCATTTTAAATGCATAAAGCTGCTGTGTTCTTTGGATGTATAGGTATAATAAAATTAAGATCCATGCTGCAGATAACTTTGACATCAGTAACTATGTCTACATATCAGCTAAACGCATTGACTATCTTGCTGAGTTGAGGTTTGGATCAGTTGCCAATCTTGTCTCCATATTATTTCATTCTCCAGGCAATGATAGGGGTTCCTGTCAAAATTATCTGGCTAATGTTGATTTATGGTATAGGCGGTAATAGAGGATGTGTCTTCCTAAAATAAAGCTTTTGTTGAATTGCATAACCACTCTACAATCTCAAATGGCTTCCTATTGCTACTATATCAGTTCAAACTGCTAAGATTGGCATTAAAAGCACTCCATAATATGATCCTACCTCATCTATTCAATTTCATCTTCTCAGTAGAAACTTCCAATGCCAGACAGTAACAGCCCCTATGACAACACATACCCCCATCACCACCAACAGTGTTCTTTCTCACCTGTACTCTGCTGCCCATCCCCCCCAGAATGGCTTTCCAGGTCAACCTGCCTCTAAGATCCTCTTGCATGGATTACCTCCACCACATATTCTAGTGCTTGATCTTATAATGTACAACATAGTTACATTCTGTCTTTCCCACTGGGCCATAGGAGTTTGATAGTTGGAGATTCTATTTTAATTATACCTTCTCTACTTTTTCTGTGATCAAAGTGGTTATTAATAGACGGCTTTGTATTTATTTCTAGAAAAGGTGTGAGGGAGCCCGTAATAATGACACATGTGCATGTGACAGTCAAAATATAGAATAATGAGGTCAGAAATCATAGAAAAGGAAAAGAATTATCCAAGCAACTGAAATATAGTAACAGATGGTTACTGTGACTCTAAGCATCCTGGCAACCAACACAAAAGGAAAACACAACAAATGTAAAAACTCAACATTTTGACTTCACCTATAAGAAAAACAAAAATCCATACCAAGTCAAAAGAACATTCTCTTTGTCCAAGAAAGTGATGCTCATCATGATTAAAATTTGTTTAAATAAATATAAAAACTATTGCCCATTTTACTACTTTAATTATTCACATGTGGAAGACATGCGTGCACATGCACACACACACAGAGCAAATAATCTTTCCTGATCATTGCTAAAGAATCTGTCATTGGGTCTTGTAAAAGGAAAACTACTTACAGGTGCACCAGGGAGACCTTGAGGCCCAGGTTCTCCATCTAAGCCCCGAGCACCCTACAAAAAAAAAAAAAAAAAAAAAGACAAAGAAATGAAATTAAGATCAGCCATTTAAATGTTTATTTATTTATTTTGAGAGAGAGAGAGAGAGAGAGAGAGAGAGAGAGAGAGAGAGAGCAGGGGGAGAGAGAGAATCCCAAGTAGGCTCCACACTGTCAACGCAGGGCTCAATCCCACTAACTATGAGATCATGACCTGAGCTGAAAATCAAGTCAGACACTTAGCGGACTGAGCCACCCAGGCACCTCAAGATTACTCATTTATGTTAAAGGGCACATCAGTCTTTCTACAGAACTTTAATAGCCAGATAAAAAAGGAGGTTTTGTGTTTGCAACATATACTGTATTCATCGGTGAACTCCAGGGATTTTTTTTTTAATGTTTATTTATTTTTGAGAGAGAGACAGAAACAGAGTGCCAGCGGGGAGGGGCAGAGAGAGAGGGTGACAGAGAATCCAAAGCAGGCTCCAGGCTCTGAGTTGTCAGCACAGAGCCCAATGCAGGGCTTGAAGCCACAGACTGTGAGATCATGACCTCGCGTGACTGCTTTATCAACTGAGCCACCCAGGCACCCGTGGTGAGTGTTTAATCAGACACCTCAGATATGAAAACACTTAGTTTGCATCTTCTCATCCCACCCAAAGTACTTATGGCCAGTCTTTGATACCACTTTGGATATTTTAAGTTAACACTGTATCCATTCTTGATTGATGACATGAACTGAAAACACTGGTACCTGTTTAGAGAACTTGACAAACCTATTGAAGAGGTTTGGTACTCACCCTGCAGGCCTCTCAGGATTCTGATGGGAATTTGTTAGCGGTGAAGACCAAGGAGCCACCCAAAGAATAGCTGGCATGGACTCTGCTGCTGCTGCAGCTGTGGGTGGGATTCTGTGACACTGGATTTCCACCAAGATCCAGAATCAGAAGTCCAGCCATGCGGTTTAGAAGAACGAATTGTAATAAGGATTTGAGGATGCCCTCTTCCATCCTGGATGGACATTAGGTTCGGTTTATATGAAATAATTCATTTACTTCCTTCACAACAAACACCCTACCAAGTGACGGTGGCATAAAAACTACACAGCTTTGGAAATGTAATTGTCTTGAAATCAATTCTGACTTGGTTATATTGTACGTGTCTCCTTCTTGTTTAATTATAAGAATCAAACTGTGATTTTAAAACAAAAGGGGGGGGGCGGTTAGTGCTTTCTGCATAGGCTACATGATAAAATACAACCCTCTTTAAATCTTTTTCTCATCTGCTAAGTGAATGAGAAGGCAGAAGGGCCACTGGAGTCCACAGGCCATCTCCTAATGAAAAGGGTTGAGGTAAGGAGATGATAAAATAAATAGAAAACAGTCCAAAGAGTATTGCATGGATGTCAGCCCAAGAAAACCAGGTGGACAGCGTCTGTAGTATTAAGAGTCAGAAAACCTTTGATAGAAGGTTCAGAAAAGAGAGAATCAAATAAAGGACACAACCGAAGCAGAGGCACCACAGAGCCTTGAAATTCTTTGATCCCTAAAAACTAGAACAGAGCAGAAAGCAGTCTACGTTCACCAGGGAAGGAGAGATTTGGAAGACCCGAAAAAGACCTTGAATTCATCATTCACCCTGCGTGGTGAGAGCGGAGCCCGGCCTTTGCATTATAGAAATGGCTGTGATGCGCTCACTCTCTCTCTTATTGCTGTTCAGCACAAGCTGAGACCCAAAATGCTGTTACTAGGCAACCACACCAGGGGTCTGAGTTCATGAGAAGAGCTTGCTTTTTTTTTTTTTTTATGGAAAGCAATTTGACAGAACTCAGAGGAAATGAGAAATTTTGAAGAATGCCAAGTAAAAAACATGCCTCAAATAAAGAGCATATCAAGAACAGTAATTGGTTTCAAAGTGTGGGGTCACATATTTTAGATGATTTAAACCCAGAAAAAGCGAAGGCCTAGGTATCAGCAACTTCAAAACAAATGGGATGTATTACTTAATAACAGAAGAGATACACACAGAATGTTACTTAAGGTAACATGAATATAGAAATATGAAATATGTTTTTTAAAATACAGTGTTTTTAGAAAAGAAATATTCTAGAGGAAATGGAAGAGTAAAACAGGCAGAATGAGAATACCCAAAAGGGACAGCAAGGCTGAAAAAAAAAAGAGTCACAAAATAATTCCTTCAATTTCCAAAAATATGCATTTCTTTTAAAAAATTTAGTTTTATTTTTTTGAGCACCTACAATGTGCAAGTTAGTCCCACTTAGCAGTTAATAAAAGTCCTGTGCTTCTGTGTGAAATGACACAAATTAGCTCTAGAGGTTCTAAAGAGAAAGAGGTGAGGGTCAGAAGTGGTGGTAGGCAAAGTGCTTTTCTTTTTCCAAGCCCACAAAGTGGCTTTTCTAACATACTCTGTAAGTAGTAACCATTTTCTGAAAATCTGATAGAGAAGGTAGACACACCCCTACACACACTCACATACACACACAGTGAGAAAGACATTTCTGAACACAGCATGAATGTTCAAGTTTCCATTGTTTTCATTCACGATACTCAGCCAAGCCCTCCCTAGCCCCATCCTCCACCAGTAGGAGCATGTCTTCCAGGTAGGTCTGGCATCCCTCTGATGTCACCATCTCCCCCCTGAGCCCTCCCAGTTCCCTGATCAAGAGTAACCACTCCTTCATCTTCACTCCCTCAAATCACTTGCCCTCAAATTTATGGGTCTCTTGTATACATTGTAGTCAGCTATCTACTCACTCGTTTCTCCCAATAAATAACAAATTTGAAGTCCTTATTACTTGTTGAATCTCCCCAGCATCTCGCAGTGCCTTGCTATGGAAATGGTAGGAGAATCTGGTCTTTGCAACTGGGCTAAGGACAGATTCGAAAACTCCAGCCACAAGTATAGGATTCCTGTTGAAGGCAGAGCTCAGCAATCCACCTAGCAGAGAGCCACAGATGGCCCCAGTGTCCTTAGGGATATCCTGCCTTCTCTTACCTCTCCCTTCCTTCCATTCCTTCCTTGTCTTTGCTTTGATTTCCAGGTATTGTGTCAGTGCTATCAGTATTAACTATTGATAATGATAAAGAGATAAAATGTAACAGCCCTGCTTACTTCTATTTACTCGAGATAATTTAAAATATATAATATATAAGTATCATATGTACTCTTTTCTATCATCTATGTTTATAACAGAAATGTGAAAACCTAACTAAACATCCACAAAGCAAATAAAAAATAAAAAATGATGTTGCTTGGGTGCCTGGGTGGCTCAGTCAGTCAAGCGTCAGACTTCAGCTCAGGTCATGACCTTGTGGTTTGAGGGTTCGAGCCCTGCATCAGGCTCTGTGCTGACAGCTCAGAGCCTGGAGCCTGCTTCAGACTCTGTGTCTCCCTCTTTCTCTGCCCTTCCCCCGGTTTCTCTCTCTCTCTCTCAAAAATAAACCTTAAAAATTTTTTTTAATGTTGCTAAAAATAAGATATTTTTAAGTGGCAAAAAGCTCAAATATTTACACATTTGATTATCATATCATCATCATCATCATCATCATCATCATCATCATCATCATCATCATCTTACTTTTTCCCCTTTGGCCCCAACTATGCCAGTGATGCCTCTTAATCCTTGAGCTCCCTGGAAATATAAAAACAACAGTGAATTGCTTTAGTTGAAGCACACACTTGTTTGTTTCTCTCATCACAAAAGCTGGTCCAAAAGGATGTTAACATAACCAAAGGTAACAAGAAACAGTGACATTATATAAACAAATATTTCTAGTTTAGAGAGAAAATCCAAGGAGAATTATTCTGATGGCAAAAGAATTTTAAAATTCTGAAGACATATGCATACCTGGAGTTGGAGCAATTACTGATGACAAAAAAGAAACATCACTGCATAAGAGAACTACAATCATGTATTAGATTTATCTTTTAACTCAGGTAGAGCATACACTGCCATTTCTACCTCCTTAATGGTTTGTAAGTTGGTTACATGTAAGATGGTTGTGATTTTAAACTTTGGAATAATTTTTCCCCACCAGTGTATGCTATCAAAGGCAATTAGGTTTCTAGACTAGCCCCCACAAAAGCTTATGACCTGTAAATGGAGCTAAAGTCTTTATTAACCACTAGGGGTCACTATTTGTTATACCATCTCCATGATAGAGGCACTCTATCTTGGGGCAGTAAGAATCCATCTCACTTCATCCCAGGCAAAGGAGTGGGTAATTTTAAAAGTAAGGATATGAGTGTGATTTCCAGAATCTTTTCTAATACTAAAATGCCACCATTCTCAATTCTCTGGTCACAGCAGCAGGGCCCCAGGAGTGGATCCTGTAAAGAGTGGGCCTGGGTGTTCTCTTGGGAGAAGCAGGAGATAGATGCTCCTTCAGGAAAGTGGAAAAGCCACTTCTGAGCAATTTGCTAACTGTCCACTATAACTGGCGTACAATAAGGTAGCTCCAGGCCAGTCATTCTCTTGTGTTCTCACTTAGAGAAAACGGGGCACTTCAGTGGCCAACCCTTCATCCAGACAAGTGACAAATTTTATGCAGACTAGTTAGGAATGACTTGCTAGGACATGTAAGATGTAATATGTAACATGATGCAGCTTAGAATAACCACTTGGGATGTAAACCACTTGAGATGTGGCCATTTCAGATTAAAACTGCTCTTTCTGAAGGTAGTTCCGCAAAATGAATTCCAAAAATATTTGAGCCAATGGCAGTGACATCAGAATGCCATGTATTGTCTCCCAAGGTGATGACTTTGAAGGGCAGAGCTCATGTATACATGTTCCAAAGAGCATATTTTTAAAAAATCTGTTCATTACTTTATAGATGTACATTTAAAAAGTGAAAATCTGTGAGTTTTACAGAAACATTTTGGCAAACCCACTCCCAAACACCAGAAGGTCAGCAAGTGCTAACAATATCACCCATGCTTGAGCCATGCAGCACCCAACAGATATCCTTAATCCATGAAAATACTTTTAAATGCTGCTTGCAAAATCCTGTTCTGAGGATTTGGGGGAATGGCTTTAAAAATAACTCCAATTCCCCACCAAATTTTCATCAGATCAAAAACAAAAAACAAAAAACATATGTCTCTTACACTACTTATTTCCATCTTCCTCCTGTAAAATAAAGTCCATCTCCTTCTTGTCTCCTATCAAAGGTTCAGGGAAGACAAGCTTCTGGAGTAAGCCCCTCGTACTCCTCCAGGTTTCCTTAAAGTTCTTATGTGGCTTAAAAGCAGAGGCCATTTCTTACAAATGTGCAGACTTCCTTCCTTTAGCTGGAATTTCCTTAAGTTCTGGGTAAGCACTAATTGGCACAACTCCCTGAACTCTTTCATAAATGGCCAGTTGTTTGGGGAATAGCAGAGCAGGGCAAGGAAGGGTGGTGGCCCCATGTTTGTCCTCCCTAACTCTTTCGTTTCTGAGAATAGGACCTGAGTCTGTGCTTTACATAGTAAAGACCGTGGCTAGCTGCAATTCAATCAATATTCAGAAATTATTATTTCCATAATTGTTACTACTCATCCTGACAAGAAAAAAAGTGTAACAAGTCTACTTTCATATACAAAAGTAATGTAAATTTTGATGTCCCAAACACTTTAAATTGACATATGTCAATGCCCCAGATTACTTCACTGTGCATTTAATTGCAGCAATCTGCCAAAGCACAAGGGACCAACTTTTTATTTTAAAAAAACATTATTACAAGGAATTAAGAATGTTCTAATTATAATGATTACATGCTGGCATAAGGTACATCAAATCCAGTCGATGACCTACCTGCTACAGATTCAGCGTACCTGAATTTTTCCGTATCATATGATAGCACCATAGAACATGAAACACATATATCATTCTCTTGTGTTCAATATTTGCTTTCAGATAGCCTAGCCCTGAAATCTAGTAAATAAATGTATGTAATTATAGGTACATTTTGTTTTGTTAAAATGGTGCTTGAATGTATAATGGGGATCCTTTCCTATTTCAAAAAAATGGTAAATTCCCAGTGCTGTCTTGGTGGAAAAATACAGAATACCATGTTCATATAATACTATTAATTCAAATGCTAAACATGAAATATTCCAAAAGTCATGAAAAAAGAATATTTGCATATCCTAAATATTTTTAAACAATACTTTACTGGAGGTCCTTGAGCTCCGACTTCTCCCTGTTCCCCCTGGTCACCTTCTTCACCCTAAGAAACAACAGAAAGCACTCCAAATGTTATTGCAGCAAATGAGCATAGATAGATATAGGCTCGTTGTAACTCAGCACATTTTAAATTCATTTGGCATCCCCTGAGTTATGCTACTGTACTTTCTTAAATTAGTTTACATGAATAATCCATATTAATTGTGTAACATTCAGAAAATACAGAGAACTATACAAATAAAGTCACCCAAATCCCACTTTTCAACTATAAATACCTGTAACATCTTAGATGCTTCTCTAAAAAAGGGTGGGGGTGGGAGAGGAAATGACGGAGAGAGAATATGCATACATTCACGTTCCAAGTGTGTATTGTGTGTATGGGGGTGTATTTTTAGGAAAATATGATCATGCTATGCAAACTTTTCCATAAACTACAACATTATTTAATTGTGATTTTCTTTTTTTTTTTTAATTTATTTATTTTGAGAGAGAGAGCAGTGGAGGGGCAGAGAGAAAGGGAGAGAGAGAAAATCTGAAACAGGCTCCGTGCTGTCAGCACAAAGCCCAACGTGGGGCTCGAACTCACGAACTGTGAGATCATGACCTGAGCCGAAATCAAGAGTCAGACACTTAACTGACTAAGCCATCCAGGCACCCCCAAATTGTGATTTTCATTTTAAACTTTTCTTATTATAATTTTGCTGCCATATACAATTTTTTAAAGTATTTAAATCACTCTTTCTTTTCATGGCTTCTACCTTTGATGTCACCCATTGAAAAGCTTTCTCCACCCCAAAAATACGTAAATATTCATCTGTATTTTTCCTCTAGTTGTTTCATAGTTTAATTTCTTACATAGAAATCTTTAATTGGTTTAATGTAAAATGTAAGATAGAAATCTGTCATTTTCTTTTTTCCTGGTAATTGGCCACTCTCTCTAATATCATTTATTGAAGGATATCTCCGCACAGATATCTCTCCCCACAGGCTGGAAAATTCTTCCTTAACATACTAAATTGTTAAATACACTTGTTTTTTCTGATCTGTTTTTTCTGCTTTTCTGATCTGTTGTATGATGTTGCCAATACCACAACATTTTAATTATTGCAATTTCATGATACATTTTAATCTCAGACAGAATTCCTTTACCTTTATTTTTCATCGATAGTTACTCTTTTTCAGTTTTTCCTACATGCTTACTCTTTCAGATGAACTTTAGAATTATTCAGAAGATCTTCACAAAAATACTACCTGCTTTGTATTAGGGCTGCATTAAATTAAGAAATTAATATGGAAAGAATTAGAATCTTTACAATATTGAGCCTTTCTATCTTAGAACTGAGTGTATCTATTTAATCAAATCTTTTTCTTTCAATCAATAAAGTTTTGTTCTTTTCTTCATGTTAGTCTTGAATATTTAAGTTTGTTCTAAGGTATCTTGACTATTTGGTAGCAATTGCCAATGGAATCTTCTTCCATTTTGTTTTCTAACTAATTATTATTTTGACTTTTTGATACTAAGCTTATAACCTCTGATATACTTTAAAATGTTAGTATATTCTGAAGAGAAATTCAACTGCTGTTTCTTATAGAAAGATTACTTTATTGACTCTGAGAAAAAATTTACTTTTCCCTCTGACAAAGGTTTTATTTTTTACAATAAGTATACTGCCCTACATTTCCTGTAGTAATGGATATCTCTAATTGTAAAATTAATCATGAGAAAAATTTTCCATTTTTAATATTATGTACATAATATTAGATAAAAATCAATTTCTGTTGTTTCTTTATTACATGTTTCAGTTCACCCATGTTCTTGCTCTACAGACCATACCTTAAAGAGATTTTCACATACACATATACACACAGAAATATAGCAAATTGAATAGCAATATTAATATAGAAACTTTGGACATATAATACAAAGAACTAAGTTATGCCTAGATCATTTATACTTGATTTTTGAAAGAATTATGAGGGTATTACATAGTGGTTTTAGTCTCATAGTTATATTCAGATTATATTCCATAAGAATATATAATTGATGGCAGAGAGGCTGTCCCAATGGGAAAGCCAGTGAATTAGCTATTGGAGTGGGTAATCAACACATGCATACAATTAAATGCTACTTATATTTCCCTACCTATCAAAACAACAGTGACTCATATGTGCACAGTAAGTTTCCATTAGCAAGGTTTGGGATATTTTCCCACAGATTCCTGATAAACCTTGGACTAATACAATTGATTTAAATATTTCACCAGCAGATGAATAGCACACAACTAATCAATAACCCTGACATTAACTGACAAATTTAGGAACAGCAATTTATTATCATTTTACAGAAAGATTTTTGACTATTCATTTCTATATTTATCAACAAATTTTAAAATTTTTATTAACTAATTTGTAAATTCAAGGCAGAGTTGTGAATCCACTTTAAGTTTACAGTTCAGTGCATCTATTACCCTTTCAAGGTTCATTCTTTAATGAGCTATTGTCTTCCTATCTTTATATGTAAGTTTTTAAAGACACCCACTGAGAGATGTAAGTGACAAAACAAGTGAAATAAAGGAGTTTTCAACACCTACCAATAAAATTTTGGCCAGTTATTTCACACACCAAAACAGTTTTCAGGTTCCCCATTGAAAACCAAGCCATATTTGAGAGTCTGGATAACTGACTTGTATAGGTATCAAAACTATTGGTTTCTGGGGAAGAGGAGGAAAATACTCTGACTGACAGCTCCATCCGCAAAGCCCATGGGACAGGGTTGTAAAAATTCCACAAAGAAAAGGGGCCACCAAAAGAAGGAAGAAGGTATGGATGGCATCAAAAACAACAGAAGTCTACTATATCTGCTTTACTACATGTATTGTTACCTCATGAAAACCTTTTGGTGCACTGTAATATTCTTACACGCCTTTTCTTTGGTGGTTAGATAATATTCTATTATATGGACATGCCATACTTAATTTAGCCAGTCTCCGTGGTTGGACATATTTTTTTTTTTCATTTCTATGCCCCTGGCACTTAGAATAAGCCCTGGCACACAGCAGGAACTTAATAAATAATTGTTGCATTTTTTTAGTTGTGAATTTTAAGATTTAATGGAGGAATGAGCATGCAGAAAAATTTCTGAAGTACTCAGTTTTTTTCTTGCTCCAATTTGACATTAACCAGCTGTTACATTCCAGATAAATAAAATGCCTTAATTACTCAGTGCCTAAGCAATAAAAGACTTTAAAAATAAATGACCAAACTGTAATAAGGAACAGAAAATGGGCTTACTTATCCTGATTATCTGAGGTTGCTCAACAGACTGATTTTAGCTAAAGAGTTCAAGGATATTAATGCCTGATGATATTAATAAATTGCCTCTCCAGCTCCTCCAAAGAAAAAGACTAATTTTCTGCCTCCACCCCATTAAGGTGTAGAAGGACATAGTCTACAAAGTCTAGAAAACCCGCATGAATAAGAACAGTTTGACTTTGTAAAACATTACACAATTAACAGGGACAAAACTTTTATTAAGCAGAAAGTCAAATTCTTAGACACTTAAAGGCAATTGACATTAGTGGATTAAAAAAAAGCAAGTAAGTCACCTTACTTTAAATTTCTATGTTGGTTTTTCTGCAGGGCATGTGAGCCCCAATGTAGGCTGTGCTGTGGATGCCATGTTTCTATCCAGACAATAACAGAAGTCCTATCACTAACTCCCATATTACTCAACATCTAAATTCTATTGAAATGAAGTCAGAAACAAATTATTTCAGAACTTAAGATGAGAAGCCATGAGCTATCAACTTCCTGTTTGCTCGTGTCAGCAACACTCATCATAAAATTTTACACATGTCATAAAATTTTGTTTACTGGAGTGGGAAAAGTAGCTGAATAATGTTTGACTATCAAAAGCATCAAGGAAAAAAGCTGAGTGTGATTGATTTCAAAAGAAAAGCAAGGGGTAGCAACACAGGAAAGAATGAAATGTATGGTGAGTTACTGTTTTTTACAATTGAACAACATTAGAATATTATACTTAGAATATTAATGCATCTACTGAAAACTTGTCAATCATCATTTGAAAAGGAAGGATAAAATATGCTTTATTATTCCCTATAATTTCTTGTAATAAAAGTAATCACTTCCTCCTAATCACAACTTACCCACTATATATTCATTTTCCTTACCTTGTGACCTTGTCTTCCAGGTTCACCAATTTCTCCTTTAGCCCCTTTATGACCCTAAAAATGCATAATTAACTAATGAATTAATTAATTTAAAAATAACTGTATTGGGTTTGTTACGGAAACTGGTCAGAAGGCTCATAAAGTGATCTTGCTTCCCTAAATCTGTGTCAGTTTCTGCTACACAGAAAAAGGTTACGTCACAAGGAAAATGACTACCTTAAATGACCTTAATACTGCCATGTGTATTACATGACTGTTGTAGATGATAAATATAAGTTTTAGTTAATAGAAAAACACTGTTCTAGAATAGCAAAAGCTTTATTCTCTGGTTCAGCAACATGATATATTGCTGGCCATTCCCTAGATCCCTCTATCCTAAACATCCTTTCATAGTTGGGGTAAGAGCATTAAGTCTTCTCCAACATCAGTAACTTTTTTCCCAAAGATGACCCAGCTCAGCTGGCTATCTCCTGCTCTCTCGATGCTGCTCTGAAAACCCTTCTGCCTCCTCTGTACCTTCATGGGGGTGGAAGGGATCTCCCCAGATGCACAACTTCCACCTCTTCTTGTACACAATTTTAGATGCAAAGGGAAAGCTATTAAGGGCAGTCAGTGAAAGCTGCAGAGCATGAGAAGAAAATCTCCTATCTCTTCCTGTCTGGCCACCTGTTCTAAACATATGTGTGCTTTTGGTGGTAACATGAGGCAAATGGGAAATGAACATTCCAAAATTAAGTACATCAGAGCTTTCACTCTCAAAGCCACTCTCATTCCAAGAGTGTAGGTCTTCGTGAAAAATAAGACACCAATCCAGGACCAAATCTTTTGCAGTTGTGGGAACCCATTAAAACTAACCTTAGAGAAAAGGATGACTAGAAAAGCAGTGCCCTGGGGCCTTTCAGATCATAGCACAACTCCATTGGTCTGGAATTTTCAAAATAATTTCAGACTCATAGACTAGAGAAAAATCCCACCTAACCCCAACATTTAATATTTTTTTTATTTTTATGGTAAATTTTGAAGTAACTATGATATAGAGTGAGAGAAAACATTTTTGGGAAGTCTTTTTTCTTGCCTATTATGCACAGTATTCCCTAGATTTTCTTAACCAAAATAGTTTCAAATACATTATGTGTGCAATTACCCCCAATCTTCCTCAATAGGAAGCAAACTTCTCTACATTCATTTGGTGTTATAGAGTCTCTCAAGCCAATACATTGTATGGGTATTTCCTCCCCGAACAACAAAAGCACTGTGTGATCAAACATCCATGTCTCCATAGGACTACCTGCCAGGGGCACCAGCCACAGTTCCTAGGACTGAAGAAGGACCATAGACTGAGCCGCAGAACAAACGAACACAGACTTGCCTAATCCATCAGAATGTGGTCTTTCACCAGGAAGGCCAGTGCTTACAGGAAAGGCTCTATTTTTTCTATGGATAATACTCTTGAATATAAAATACTGAAATTGTTCTCTTACCCTCATGCCTGGTAAGCCTGGATATCCTGAGCGACCTGGTGGACAGGAATTGGGACACTGCCAAAGGGAGAGAGAGATAGATAAGGAGAGCATAAATTAGAGCCTCCCTTTATGACAAAATGGTATTTTTTTAGGGATTCTAGCTACAGAATCCCAATATAATTATATTCATTAAATAACTCTGACTACCCCTTTTTTCAATATTTCATTTTTAAAATCAGAAATATTCCTAGCTCACAGAAAAGTACAGAGTATTCACCATCCAGATTTAATAAATGTTAATAGTTTGCCATATTTATTTCAGATTTAATTTATTAAAGAAATAAAATGTTTCCAGACAGTCTAGTGTACCACAACCTGATCCTTTTCCCCTTCCCCTCTATTCGAATAGCTGTAACTTGAGGTCCACATACCCTTGTCAAATTGGCTAACATTGCACTTAGTACAGTTTACCAACATCATCTGAATATCACTCTGTAAGTACAAGTCTCAAAGGAACTGTTTGGCTTCTATCTTCTAAGATTGAGGGGTACTCTGTTGAAAGCCATAAAGTAAAGAGATTATGGAAAAACAAAATCATTTCTATAATGAAAACCAGTTACAATGTGAGTGTATCCAAACTACCAGTCCTCTAGTTCTATGGATTGTTCCACCATCAAAGTAAAACAGAAATACAACATATTCCAGCAAGGTAATTTTAAGGAGAGTTGACCTGAAGATTACACGGTCTTTGACTTAATCTGTATTTCATTCAAAGGTAAACATCTTACCAATGGATCTCCATCATGAAAACCAATTGTTCCCTAAAGTAAAGAAAATACTAAAGTTAAGAATATAGTTAAATATGTAATTCAAACCTACTAATAATTGAAAGTTCATTGAACAAAAATACAATAAATATATTTGTTCAATAAAATATAAGGAACAAAGAGCTACATATAATATGCTAATATTCTAAAAATTTTGACTTGTAGGGCATGTTCATTTTGGAGACCCCTAAATTTCAGTATATTATCTCTTTCAGGGGACTGAAGGGATATAAAATGAAAGAATAGAAAATATGGGGTACTCCAAATATAAATTTAAAATATGAATTATCTCCTACTTAAACTCCTATTTTTTAAATTGCTTACTGTATAAATCCTTTGTAAAAACTAGTTCATTTGAAAATGTTCCTTTTATACATCCAAGTTTTGAGCATTTGAGAAATCACAAAAGTCAAAGGACTTCAAATATATGAGTAAGCCATTCCCTGAGAAAACCTCCTTTTAAATTATTGTTATTCCTCTACTTTTCTGTCCTAAGAAGACCCATGTTCTGAATGGGGGAAAAAAACTGGTAGCCATTTTGGAATTTTAGGATGATGACTCAATTAACAAGTACTTCCATTTTTGGTTCTTGGGTTTATTTAATTCCAACTCTCAGACACAAGAAAATTCAAGCTGCAAATAACTTACACTGGGTCCTGGGGGGCCAGGGGGGCCAGGTGGTCCTCTTTTCCCAGGGTCACCCTAAGTTATTGAAAATTGTGACACAGTGGTTATACACGTCAAAACGCAGTGCATAAAACTGGTAAGGCATGAGAGAATATTACTAGAAACCCCTACAGAGCTCAGTCTTGCATAGACCTGCCACTAAAATCGATGGGTGGCCCATAATCCAATTAGCTCCACAAAACTAGAAGAATAAAGGAGGTACAGTCTCACCAAAGTAATAAAACAAGGCAGAAGGAAGTTTGGGGGGAAAAGCAAAGCCAATTCTTTTCTACAGCATGATTACTTTATTCTGGAAACAAACTGGAAACACCACCTATTTTTTTAGTTGATTTATAGAGGAACTGAAACAGCCAGTACTTCTAGTACCATCCAGATAATGGTGGCAAAAGAAGGTTTGCAGCCAGCCTGAAGCTATGGAATGGCAGGTTAATCTCTGCAATGCCAGATTCTCCCAGGGTACTGTTTACCCACAAGCTGTTACTTGGCCTATCACCATACTGTCTTGCAAATGGCACAGGAGATCCAAGATGGCTAAATACAAATAAGCCGTTCAAATGAAAATGGTTTCAATTCGCCCTAACGTCCACAGTTTACTCCTTGTGTATGTTTTCCTTCTGAATATTCTACCATAAGAAGTCAAAAGCATCTTACAATTATTTTAACTTTATAACCATTTCATATTCATTTGTTCAGTAAATAATTTTATCAAATAGTAAGACGTATGGAGAAGCAAGAAAAAATATATAATACATGGCTCCTACTCTCAATGCATTTACAATTATCTATCCTCCACATAATGTCACTACTTCAACATTTTTGAAATATTGGATAGTAACATCAAGAATTTATTACCAACAATTTCTTCTATAAAGTTCAGCTCTTTATTGCCTAATGTTAAGTTCTGTTGGTTCAATTATAATTTAATGATCCTAACAGAAATACACTTGGCAATAATTTTCAGCTATTCATTTTATGCAGAGAGCCTAATACAAAAGACACTGGACCTTAATTCTGGCTGAGAGTCTATAAAATGGAGGTGACATCTCCTGATTTGACCACTAATTCTGGAAGTTGGGAAGAAAAGTTTAGCTGACAGCCTTGGAAAAAAAAATTAAAATCACTCTACAAAAATGAGGTAGCATTATTATCCATGGTTCCCATCAATATTATGAACTGGAATGAAATTCATCTGCCATTTTTTGGATTTGCAGGGGAAAATATACAGTTAGGGTAATTTGCCTTCTGAGTAACGTCTTCTATTAAATCAGTAAATGTCTATCAAAATGCAGTGTGTACTCACAACTGGTCCAACACGGCCAAGCTCGCCAGGGAGTCCTGCTGCCCCAGGAGGACCCTGTATGTATATACACAATAGAATATTTTTCAGCCATAAAAAAAAGATCTTGTCACTTGCAACAATACAGATGGACCTGGTAAGTAGTATTATGCTAAGTAAAATAACTCAGACATAGAAAAACAAATACCATATGATTTCACTTATATGTAGAATCTAAAAAACAAAACAAAGAAACAAACAACAACAACAAAATAAACTCTTAAATACAGAGAACAACTAGTGGTTGCCAAAGGGAAGGTGGATGTGGGGCAGGAGGGAGGTGATGAAATAGATCAAGGGGATTAAGAAGTATAAACTTCCAGTTATAAATAAATAAGTCACAGATGAAAAGTACAGCATAGAGAACATAGTCAATAAGTCAATAAGATGGTAATAACATTGTTTGGTGACAGAAGATGAGCACACTTACTGTGGTGAGCTCTGAGTTGTCTACAGAATTGTTGAATCATTACATTGTACAACTGAAACTAATATAACACTGTATGTTAATTATACTTCCATTTTTTTTTAAAAAGGTAATTCTAAATAAGTAAAGGGATGTGGTGACTTATGGATGTTTTTTACAATCTATCATAAATGATATCAAATATGATAAACAACTGATTTAGAATTATATCTGTGCTAGCTTTGGTTTCCAATAACATAATAACTCATTTGACTAAATTTTAATTACTTAAAAAGGAACAGAAATTTCTAAAATCAATAAAATTTTTTGTTTAGCAGGATAGAAGTGCTGTCACAGTAGCCACCGAAGATCATGTATGTAGGACACTATAAATACCACCAGGTACTGTCAGTTGGAGAGTAAGCTTGGGAGCTGAGAAATAGGCCATTGTTATAGACTATGTAGAAACACACCCAGAGATGATACTTACAGGGGGTCCAGGAATACCACGGCCCTAAAAGATTAAAATAAAAATTGTTATGGTATGTGATTTAAACTTAATATAAATACAGACAGACATAATTCAGTTCAAAAACAAAGTATAAACTTTGTCACTAAATAACATGATGCTCATTCTAAAGAAATGACTGGATAAAGAAAAGCAAACATGGCTCTACTCCTAAGGAAGAAGTTTGTTTCAGCACCTCAAATATTCCTTTGATGTCTAAGCTAACCAATAATATTTTTTCCAAACGTTCTCGTAAGAAATCAAAGTAAAGTAGTCATCCACACTTGCCCTCAGGAGAATTTAGCATCACTCACAAAGAAGCACATCAGTTTAAATCTAAGTTTAAAGATTTTTTTTCATCATGTTTTATAAGAAATCTACCTTAAAAGCAATACAGTGTAGTGCTTTATAATTTATAATGTGATGTTTGGAAATTCCCAAACATTCAGCACAGAAAGAGGGGGTGGGGGCAGGTGGAGGCGGGAGGAAAGGACCAGAAACCACGTTCTTTTGACAGGTGGACTATGTTTCTAGACAAATCCAGTAGATAGTGAAAATAAAATGGTGTCACTCTTGAAATGACTTATGACAGGATCCTAATTTGATATCCTAAATCTGAGAGCTAGTTATTTCATCTCCCTCTCCTTTGTACTTTATTTCTCTTTAGCAACACTGAACTGCATATAATCAAGGACTGACCCCACATCTTATTCATCCTCCTAGACTCATTTCCTACCACAGGGACTAGTATATGCTAAACCCTAACTATATGCTTGTTGAACTTCATAAAACTGAACATCAGCTGTCTAGAATCCCTTTTTCTCTATCTTTGCTTTCCAGGTTCAATATTCCCCAATTGGGAATCCTTATTACTCCTTTCTCTCCTACATTGGCTGGAATAACTTCTATCCACAGCTATCTCTAATACCATATTCATGTTAGCTTTTCATTCTAGACTTCCTTTTCTAAAACATCCCTATATGAACCATTTAGTAGAATCAATGTACACCCTATGATAATGATATTATTATTTCTAATTATTTAGGCAGCCAAAACAAACAAGAATTTCACATGAGCAGTATGTTTTAATAATAAGCGGGGCTTTTCCAAGGCATTTCAAGGCATTTGAAGAATTACTCCTATTTGAACATTTTAATATGTAAATCAATTTGGGAAATAAGTGTCATGCTTGAAAATACCAAAGTAATCAATAAATTGTTTCATTATCATAGATCTAGATGTTTGACAAATTTCAAATGTCACTAATTTTTTTTTAAAGGCATCTCTATAAGATGTTGAGCTCTGAGTAAAAAAAAAACGGGAGAAAGGCCAGCAAAGCTATTCACTTCTGAAAGTCGGTTTATAATGGAAAAGTTGACAGACAGTGAAATATGGCCATGAAAACAGTGCAAATAGAAAACAAAGATGAGAGATACAGATTAATGATAAGAACAAAAGAGGAACAAAGAGTAAAATGGAAAGGAAAAGCAGCCTAAGAACCAAACCCTCTAACAGATAAAGAAATAACACAAATTGTGAGATTGGGCAATGCAGGAAAAGACTAGCCAGAGGATTAGGCTGGTAATTATATCTGATGGTTGACATTTCATTAGAAATACAACCAGTTGTGAAGAAAGTGGTGTGATATTATGGTCTAAATACTGCATATTTAGATTTGCTGTTATTATGCAAGAAATGTTTTCTATCAAGGGAAGTAAAGGGGGAGTTGTCTATTGGGAAAAACTACCTGCAAATAGACACATGTATTTATAGTGTGCGTTCAAATTTCTCTAAAATTTTTCTACTCATGCTTACCATAGCAGAAAAGTCATGAATTCCTTTGTGATGCATATTATGTCAAAAACTGCATTTAAAAATTTCACAATGACATACTACGTGGCAATGAGAAAGAATGAAATACGGCCCTTTGTAGCAACGTGGATGGAACTGGAGAGTGTGATGCTAAGTGAAATAAGCCATACAGAGAAAGACAGATACCATATGTTTTCACTCTTATGTGGATCCTGAGAAACTTAACAGAAACCCATGGGGGAGGGGAAGGAAAAAAAAGAAAAAAAAGAGGTTAGAGTGGGAGAGAGAGCCAAAGCATAAGAGACTCTTAAAAACTGAGAACAAACTGAGGGTTGATGGGGGGTGGGAGGGAGGAGAGGGTAGGTGATGGGCATTGAAGAGGGCATCTTTTGGGATGAGCACTGGGTGTTGTATGGAAAGTAATTTGACAATAAATTTCACATAATAAAAAAAATTTCACAATGACAGAAAAGGTAGGAGATTTTCAATTCTGTCACTTTATAATTACTTACAGGAAATCCACGAGATCCCGGAACACCAGGTTCTCCCTAAAAATAAAAATAACTTCATTGTACTTAGCCCCTTGTATCATGGATATGTGAATATGTAAATTACATGAATTTTGAAATCATTAAAATACCCCATCTTGGTGTTTTTTCATTTAACTTAATTCAACTAAAACATGATTTTAGTTGAACAAGTGTATTTCCACTGTTTCATAACTAATCTTTCAGTTGATTTGCAAACACTACAATAAAATTATACTTCAGCATCTAATACCAGCAATTAATAACAGGTGGCTAACTTACTTTTTGTCCTCTTGGTCCCACAGAGCCAGGGGATCCATCAGGTCCTGTTAACCCCTAACAAAGCAAGATGATGTTAGAACTATTATAGCATCCTTAGGCAAATCCCTAAGTGCATAATTGCATTTTGTTTATTAATTATGTACAGAATGGTAACTTTTGTATGATGCAAATATTTACAAAGAAATAACTTCCCGTACTCTCATTCAAAGGTAATGTTTAACATTAAATCTGACTGTTAATTTCTGTTGATAAATTTTATCATGCTCCTAGCTTCCTTCTAATTGCATTGTTTATCACTGGGTCCAATAATTTAGTATTTTTTGTCTCCACTTTGGAAAAATGCAATATAACAATTATAGCGTTCTAATAGCTAAGTCTAATGGGACCACAGATCTTGGCTCTGTCAGTTACCCTACTTATGCACCTCCTTCACTTCATTTATAAAATAAAAATATTATATGTCTCTATAACTCTCTAATGGTGTCTTGAGAGTTAATAAAATGTTTCTTCAATAGGAATTAAACATAAACTCATTATTGCCTTATAGCTATCTAAAGTCCTCCAGTCATCTTCCAGCAATGACAGTTGCTTATTGAAGAACATTAACCTTTAAAATAAAATGTTTGAGAGCATGCTTGTTTCTACATTATTTTCCTTAGTAATAATAGGTATAATTAAGTATATATTTTCATGTGTGTCACTTGGTATATAGAATTTAAGCCAATTACAGTAAAACACGTTTTATATCTGTCATATTTAATACTAAAGCAGTTACTAAAGCATATCCTCTAAACATTCTCATTTTCCCTACCAGTACTTTTCTTACCATCACCCTCAATATAAAATACATTATAAAGTATAATAATACTACATGTATACCTGAATTTCCATATTTAGTGAGGATGCATCTTTTAAATTTTTTCTTTACTCTTTGACACTTTTAGATGTCATTTATAATGTAATCTTGAAATATACCTTGTCAAAGATAAATATGTGTATGTGTATGTGTGTGTGTGTGTACATATATATATATATATATATATATATATACGGATGGATGGAGATATGGAGATATACATATATACACATATGTGCATGCATACATAAACATCTTACAAAACTATTACCAAGATTTTGAAAAAGGTTCAAATGGTATTAATCAAGGGAGGAGTTCCTTGCAAATATGAAAGCCCAACTTAAAAACGGATCACCAAAATTCATATTTAATCGCTCATAGTTTATATAAATATCACTAAAATGTTTTCATTTCATAAATATCACTAAAATGCTTGAAAACTAGTTCATTGGCCACCATTTTTACATTTCTGTACATTAATCCATTTTCCTCATAACTCCAAAGAGTGAATCAAAGGAAGTAAAAAAAAAAAGTTGAAAATGCTAATTACAGGAAGTTTACCAAAGAACATTATTAAACACACATAAAACAATTTTTCACCAACTTTGACTTTCAATCACCTTAGTCTAAATACAACACTGTAATCTGGGAACAAGCCCCAGCATCTTAGTTGCTGAGCACCTGTAGTAATGGAATGTTGGCTATTGTATTTCAGCAAACCAACCATACAGACAGGAGCGCTCTCTGGAGGCACATATGACACAGACTTTACATACCTCAGAGCATATGTGACTAACAGAACCTCTAACTACCACTTCCTGTGAATGCCCTCCAAAATCAACCCTGGTCAATTCCCACACATGCAACCAACTAACAATCTTCAATCTGTGACTGGAATAACTGACAAGATTGGTGGACAATAGCTATTATATATGGTAGAATTTCAACTGCATAAAAATAAAGCAGAACCAAGTAAATTATTGGACAACATGAAGGCTGCTTCCAGGTTACCATTTATTTAAAGTATCTTCTATATGACATGATAAAATATGTCTATCACTAGGAAGGTCTCTGAATTAAATTGGAAATACGTTTTGGTGTCAGATGCTACAGTGAACTCTGTTATGAAACAGCTATGTAGAAAAGCATAAGCTCCCTAAGGACAAGGACTATATGTCCATTATAATAATCCTGGAACATTTCCCCTGGCATCTAACACATACTCGATACATGAGTACTTATTGTTTAATTTAGATTAGCATCTTAGGTGGAAGGATATTACACTTATCCCTCTATATCATCTTTATTTTGGGTTCAAACCCCAACTTTGCCACTTATTAATTGTACAACCATGACAAGTTGCTCAACTGTATAGTGCCTCAGTTTCCTGATCTGCAAAATAGGCATAATATTAATATCTATCTGATATGATAATTTTGAAAATAAAATGATATAAGCAAAATGCTTAAAATAGTACCTGGCGGGGTGTGCCCTGAATAAACGTTAGCTATTTATTATCATCATTATTATATGCTCAGCACTGCTATAGATGTTGTAAAGAGTTTACATGAAGTATAAGACACATTCCCTGCCCTCTGGGAGCTTAAAACCTGATTCACAAAGGGTTCTGCAAACAAATGAACACACAAAATTCTAGATATTATCCTAGAATAACCTGGGCTCTGTATTTCACGGCTTCCTCACATTTCTGTGATCAAACTGATCTTTGATGTCAGACTATTTCCACTTACACTGACCTTTCAGAATAATTCCTTAATAACTCACTATTCTAATCATATAACATCTGTCAGGGATAGTAGTTGAATACATCCAGAGGATGTTCTAACCTCTTTCCTATAAAAAGTGACATAGGGGCGCCTGGGTGGCTCAGTCGGTTAAGCATCCGACTTCGGCTCAGGTCATGATCTCGCAGTTCATGGGTTTGAGCCCCGCATCAGGCTCTGTGCTGACAGCTCAGAGCCTGGAGCCTGTTTCATATTCTGTGTCTCCCTCTCTCTCTCTGACCCACCCCTGTTCATGCTCTGTCTCTCTCTGTCTCAAAAATCAATAAACGTTAAAAAAAAATTCTTTTAAGTGACATAGTTTAACCATAATTCCTGTATTTAATTCTAATTATTCTTCTGCCTATCTTAGACGGATGCTATAAGAATGAATAAAACACTATTTTACAAAGCTCACTGAGCGTGTCACAGCAAATAGAGCCTGTAAGAATATCTCTGTTGATTATTGATAATAACACATTTGTCCTTTAGGTGCAAGGTTATATATATATATATATATATATATATATATATATATATTTCTACCAGTGGCAGAAAGAATTGCTTTCGTTGCTTTCATATGAATGTTCATGAAGATAAAGTTCTATATGGGACGATACTGAAGCTGACTGTGTTCGGAACTTTCATGCTACTGCTTGGCAGAGAACACCAGCCTTCAACAGTCATTTCCTTCCAGCATTCCAACTACTCAGCTTGTGAGACTCGAGGCATAATTCTACAAGCATAGTTGCCATGAGTCTTTTACATTTTCTGTCAAAAAATCCACTTCACTTAGGATAATTACCCTTTAAATCACGTTCCTTCTATATTCTTCCAAACATCATCTCATTAACCATTTGTTAACGTTACCAAAAAGAACAGCTTTGCAATGAGCCAAAGAGCAGAAGACAAGGAGGTTGGAGGTTTAAGGTCCCACCACTACAGTCAGGTTCACCTGACAAGAAAAGATCACTGAAGCTCTCCTAATTACTTAGCTCCCCTATGTTCAGGGACAAACAAACATCAATCTGATCCAGCTACTGATATTTCATTATTCTCAATGTGTAGTCTCAAGGTAAAAGACTTGTTTAACATGTCAAAGGAGCCAAAGAATAGCATAAGCCAGAATCTTGTAACTCCCTTATGGCTCCATTTGAAAATCTGTTAGAACCGTACCAATGTTTACAAATAATTATAAAATATTAATTATAAATCATTTTTCTTGGCTGGTAATTCAGATACTAAAAATTCACTATCACTCTTTTTCTCTCAGTTTTCTCTGATTATTCATCCATTTAAGATCTTCATTTTGTATCCGCACGAGGCAAAACTATCTGGAGAGAGAGTAAGGTTAAAAATGAAGAAATCTAGTTTCTTTCACTATCTTAACCACTGTATAAATCTGGGTCCCTGAGGAAACTAGTTGTCCTCAAAATTATTCAGTTTTCTTATCTGTGAAAAATAATATTAGCCGAACTTGCCTTCTAGGTTATCGTAAGGTTAAAGGGAATAGTGTCTGTGACTGTACTTGAGGAAAAAAGTTCTACACAGATACAATTAGTGTAGTTAACTTTTTGCTTAGTATAGTTAACTTTTGTTCTAGGAAAGGCCTACAATGCTGGCACACACATGAGTTTCTTACTACGATACTGCCGCTATAGACGAAGATAAAACTCCTTGTCATTGTTAACTACATGGTACTTCCAGAGATTTTGAAGCACTTTCACTTGTTTACCCCAAAATTTCTGTTGAAGAGAAGTAATTACTTTACAAAGCAAAAGCAGGCGTTGTCTTTATGACCTCATGGTAAAAGGTAAGGAAGAATTTGTAGCAGGCTGAGCATGCTACAAAAGCACCTTTAACTGAAGCACAGAAAACTCTAGCCCTCTATCTGAAATTCTTTCAACTCATTACCAAGAGAAGACCAGGTGATTAGTTTATGCTTCAACCACCACAAAACTAATAATAATAATGTAATCATAAATTTTCTTTTTACACAAAAGACTCGTCCAAGTTTCATAGGGATGCAGAAATAAATCCAACCCATATTGGGCTACTGGTTTATTGAGTGGCCTTGTTTGTATCAGACTTTTCTATTATGATGTGACAGTTTCAAGTAATTCAGTGTCGGAAAGAGCTTGAAAGCCACCAAATTATATAATTTCATTTGTATTATACAAATATTAGTTTGATATTCAATTCGTATTATCCAAATATTCGTTCTTGGAGGATTCTTGCACTGCCTCGCGCATCACACAGGAAAGTTCAAACTCAGGGCTTTGAAATGTAAAACAAAGTCTTTCCTAAAGTACTAAATAACATAGACAAATACCCTCATAATGGTAATCTTTTATAAAGAAAGCATATCTGAATAACCACTAAAATCTAGCTTTTTTTTCTTCAAAACGTCTTACTCTGTAGTCAAAAATTCTTGGGAATTATAATCATGGGTTTTCAGGTGCTTTCTTTGATTTAGAAAAAGTCTTCGGGTTTCGGAAACAACATAAAGCGGTCACTTGAAGGATAACTTGAGGAATGCACCACTGTATGTTCTCTGAGAACAGAAAACCTTATTTTACCTCACTTTGTATCCCAGTTTTAAAGTCAGGGGCTGGCCTGTAGTAGGACCTCAATAAGTATTAATCCAGCGCACAGAGACAGGGGAAGCCAAGAGTCCTGAAATCATGAGAGTCTGAGAAAGTATTATTTACTGGTTAGGTTTATCCTACAAGCCAGTATGAGCTTTCCTCAGTTGAGGGGAGGCAGAGGTGTGGAGGTGGGTAAATTGGAGAAAGGTTGCTGGTTCCCAGTTTTCAAGCAACCCTATACTGAATTTGTTTCCGTCAGTGATGCCAGTCAAGAAAACAAAGAGGGAAAACGAGTTTTGAATTGCCTATTCTATGTGTGCTGGCCATTTCCCTGCCTCTGCCCCTCTCCCACATTCCCACTCCAGGACTTCCCCTCAAAGGTATCTTTTTTCTCCTCTTCCTTAGCACTTAGGAGTACTCTACCCCTTCCCGGCCTGCAGGTCCTTTTCTAAATTAATCTAGTTAGTGCCTGGCAAAGAAGCCCCCGCAGAGCCGGGTAAGACTCTACCCCCTCCAGCACCCCCTGTGCCGGAAGTGGGGCTAAGCGAGCAGGCGGGCTGAGCAGGGAAGCGGGCTGAGCAGGGAAGCGGACCCTCGGGCGTTTTCTGAGAGCCGGTACTGCCCCCGCTGCAGGCTCAACCCAGGGTGCCGCGAGGTAGCTCCACCCTCTCAGGACCCTTTGCCGAAGCTGCATGGAGTACAAGGCCCAGTTCGGGGCCGCAGCCCTGTTCCCGCGTGGACTCCCGCAGTCTGCACCCCTCCGGCGTATCTCTACGTTGCTCCCTCCCTCCCCTGCACCACCCCCACCTCGCGCGCGCGTGTCCCGGACTGCGCGCGCTCCCGTGCACCCACGCCTACTCACGTCCGCGCCCGGAGTGCCTGGCTTGCCCGGAGCTCCTGGCTTGCCCGGTTCTCCAGCAGGACCCTGAGCGGGGAGCGGGCGAGGCAGTGAGTGAGAAAGATACAAAGTTGGGACTCTTGGGGCTCACGTGGTGCAAACCACGTCTAAAGGAAGGAAAGGAAGCGCGAATGCGCTGATTAACTTACCGGGGGGCCCGGGGGACCCTTTGGACCTCGGTCACCCTAGAGGGGTAGGAGAAAAGGTAAGAGTAGTCCATGAGTGGGAGGCGCTAGGGAGCCCGCGGGGAGACTCCCACACGTGTTCACCGCACAAATCGGGGACGGGGACTGGGTAAAGCTAAATGGTGGAGATTCTTGACCAACAGGGACAACTGAGCATGTCTACCTCATCCCTCTGAAAATCTCCAGGCTTCTAGGATCCAACCCCAGCTCTCACGCTCGTCCTATCCCGCCTTTAGGTGGCGGGCATCTAGCCCTGTCAAAAATAAACCCATCCCGCTGGAGAAAGGGTAGGAAAAGGCAGGACTGGAGGAACAGAGAACTGGAAATAGAAACTTACGTCGATGCCATCGATGCCCGGAACTCCAGGGGGGCCCGGAGGCCCGGGGGGACCCTGCTGGCCTGGGGGACCTCTCTGACAAAAACAGCATATACAGGTTAATGGAGCACGTTGGGCAACAAGGAGAAACTGAATGCAATGTTCTGAGGCCCCCACCTCCACGCGGTAAGGACACTTCCCATTGGAGCAGGGAGTTTTGAAACCTGGTAAACATGTATGAAATTCCCAAGCGACCGCAGGTTTCTCTGGTTCCACCACGTTCTGAATGAGGCTTAATGGTGTGGTTAGAGCAAGATGCAGGCCCTAAGGTGGGCATTGGGGTCACAGGGCCTCACCCCAACAGAGCGCATTAAAATTAAACCAAAAGGTGGTCTTGAAGAAGGGAAAGCCTGACGCCTTTTTTTTTAAGGGATGCAGTAATGAAAATGGTGGTCATTCAATACCTCGATTTGGTTAGTAATTGAGAGTCAGTGTTTTGGCCAAAATGAACTGCCCAAAATGGAGGCGCTCCACCTCAGACAGATTTCTTTGATCCTTGTTTACAAAACAGGATCGTTTTGTAAATCTTTCTACTTCCAGTGAAAATCGGGGGGGGGGGGGGGG